CAGAGAGTTGATAATCGGCTTGTCATGTTAATAAATGTTTAACTAATAATTTATATAACATTTGAAGCCAGAAAAAAGACCTGCCATAGACCGAGTTATACGGTGATTGGGAAAAAACATCCGATGATTTTATTTTTCCGAAATTATGTCGATGATTGATCCATTTAAAATTATTGTTCAGTAAAGATGTACATGTAGCATACACCTAGGTCGGATTTATGGATATTAGGACGTCGTAGTATTAAATAACACCGATTACGTACAAGTAAACTAGTTGAAAATAAAAGGAGGTGTTTTACACTTGAACTAGTAATTAAAACTTATGTGAAATCTACTTTGTTTCAACTTTATGAATGCCAGTATGCCATAACCTAGTTCTTGATGTCTTTCGTTTGGGGAAAAAATGTATACACTTTGTGTGATCATTGCCTACTACTTACGTTTTTTTATATAACCAGTCTCTCGAATAAATTGGTGCAGTGTCCTCTTGTCAAAACACTTATTCTTACATGACGAACTACATTTATAACATTACGTTATGATGCGGAAAATCACTTCATACTATTGTATGCGTATTAAACATTCTATAATACATGGGGCTGTGGTGGCCGAGTGACATCTCGACTACAGTGTGTTGCTGTGCTGGTCGAGAAATAGGGAACTATAACGTCTCGAGTTCGAACCCCGGCGTGGGTCGAGAAGAACATTCGTAATGATTTTTATGTCATGGGCCGCGAGGGAAATAATGCCCTCAAAGCATACGTTATTAGGCCGTAGCGCCGCGACCTGGGAAATAATTTCCTCGTAGCATACTTTATTAGCTCGAGTGGTACATAAAAGTAAGACGTTTAAACCAATGACATTTATTAGACCACCTGCTACAGGGGTTCTACAAGGTTAACTCCTTTTACAAGTCTCCTTTTCATCATATGTAAACGACAAATCCCTTCTACAAAATATATTGCGAAATATAATATAATAGATTTGTACATGTACACTTACGCTTCAACATTCACAGACTTGATTACCTCAAAGTAAACATAAAGCATATGAAATGGGTTAATATCGAAAAGGTGGTATAATTATGATCCTTGTATAACATAAATTTAAACACCATTACTATTTAGGCAAATATTTATTCCTTTATAAGCCATTGAACACGAATTACCAATTATATTTGTTTGTGTTGTAGTTCATTTAAATGTTATTTTGTCATCCGATGAATAGGAAATAAGACCAACACATCATTAGCGGTTCATCAATGCATCTGGTGGTGAAAAACCAAGTGTTTAAGTGGCTAAATACTCCACATCTATGAATACCTTTCTGACGAACTGTTATTCTAAGATGGGATAACATTGCTGAAGGCTACTTATATCGGTATGTATTTATTTTTCTCTTTTGTAGTTTTATTTAGACTTGCGTCTTTTAACTATTGCGTGGATACACAAAATCACCCCACCCGTTTTGTTCGTTTCAAAGAGTTAAAAACCCGAAGGTGGAGCAAAGATATATTTTATAAAACACTTATTCAATATAGAAACCACAGATGTTTCAACGCCTACTATACTCGTGATGCTTTCAAAAGAGGGAATTTTTTTTTATAACTGTTTATAAACACAGTATAAAAAGTAAAGATAAGTCGTTTAAGCTCTAGTAAAATACGAAACTATCCCTAAGTTTCAACATACTTCTATAACTATTCAACCATGGCTAACTCTTTCTAAATATTGAATATATGATTAATAACCATAGCATAAAATATGTTTTTATTTGTTGCCCATTTGGACAAACTTGGTGTTTAGGGTGAGAAAGAAATTTTTCTCAGGTCGAATTCTTGATTCTGATTCAATGTATTTCTTCTATTGTAGGTTCAAACAGGTTCAATAGGATGAGTATATACCAAAAATAAACCCCCATAAAAACCTAGTTGATTATCGAGACAGCTGCACGTTGAAAAGGAAAAAAATGTAACTACGTGTATATGTTGTGAAAACCTTTACGTATCGCCTGTCCTTTCATTTCTTAACAGAATAACTCCAGTGCCATGGTAGAGGCTGAACATCCTGCTCATACCACCAATATTCGCGCACAAATCCACGTATTTAATCCTAATTTATCTTAATCTTTGATGTACCTGGAAGTTGGTAAGTTTAGGAATCCTGCTATACATGATGTGGGAGTTCAAATGCGTTACTCACAAAAGAAAACCGGATTAAGTAATGCATCCCAACCTGGAATTCTAACATTCTTAACTAACGGCGCGTCACTTCCGCTGGTTGCCCACGACATCAGTAGCATACCGACATGTTTAATATCCGCCATATTTATGAAGTAGAAGAAATTACACGTTTCCGTTATTTCTATTAAACGTGACGAAAATCTTTTGTTTTCTTTAAACTGGGACTGCTGAGAATGATTCATCATTTCATCATTTTAACTGTCCTAGTCCATCTTCCCTATATAAATGTCAGGGTAACTACATTCTATTTTGTATTTTAGACATCTTGATCATCAAGCGAAAAATAAATGATCAAATTTGGACTATTAACATTTCAGTATCCATTTTATGCTTTTAATAAATTAAAAGGTTATGTATATACTGGCCCCCATTAGCTCGGTTGGTACATAAAAACAGGGCATTAAATTCTATGTTTTCTAGTAAGTTGACGAGACATTAAACAACATTGCAAGAGATTGCCACCATCAGCCGATAATAGTTTTCAGTAAGTTGACGAGACGTTTAAGGACATTTTAAGACGATACTAGTTTTCAGTAAGTTGACAAAAACGTTTAACGACATTGCTACCATCAACCGATAATAGTTTTTAGCAAGTTGACGAGAAGCTTAACGACACCATAAGACGTTATCCCCATCAACCGATTTTAATTTTGAATAAGTTGACGAGAAGCTTAAAACGTTACCACCATTGCCATGTAATACAGTAGTTTTCAGTAAGTTGACGAGACGTTTAACGACATTGAAAGACGTTATCCCATTCAACCGATATTAGTTATTTTGTAGTCAGTTGACAATGCGTTTATCGACATTGGAAGAGTAACGACATTGAAAGAGGTCACCAATAATAGCTTTTATTAAGTTTACCAACATTGTAAGATGTTACCCCCATCAACAGATATTAGTTTTTAGTAAGCTGGCACGGCGTTTATCGACATTGGAAGAGTAACGAAATTACCAGTAATAGTTTTTAGTAAGTTGACGAGACGTTTAACGACATTGTAAGACGTTACCACTATCAACTGATAAACTTATAAATAGATACACGGCCGTTACAGTCTGGTGCATACCATACAAATAGAATTGGCAACGGTATATTATATTGTAATTACTACAGGGAATTATTTTGATATCATTTGATAGATGTGGTGGCATTAGGCCTATGCTGTAGATCTGTAATATCGTTTATCGATCAACGTTTTTACTTACTACGTTAAGATGATCCGCGTTTCATAAACGTTTACCATCGTTTAAAGGCACCATTAAGGTGTCATATCCATAATGAAATTGTCAAGACGGATGACTTACTATTGTTTTAACACATGTTGCATCATAAATCACCATTTATTACATGAATACAACATATTTTACATATCCCTATTACTTACTGGCGTCGTTTGATGTCTACATATAACCCACACCAACAGAGTACGTAGATTCCATGCATACGTAAGAGTAACAGACATTTACAAAAATACGTTTTGGGAAAGTTGTAAATGAGAGGTAATGACATAATGAATCGGTGCAGAGGATGTTAAATATACATTCTCTCACTTTAGGAAACTAATAAAAACGTTTCGTCATTCGCTATTTATAAGTATTAAAACAAATAAACTTTGTGTTATGAGTGTTATTAAATTTCGTAGGCAAATTTTCCAAATTTACGCAAGAGTACATGTATATATAGAGGAATGCTACATAACTTCCTTATCTGCTAAAATTAATTTTCTTTTAAACCGTTCATTGTACTTTATTTAATACCATACTAAAAATCTTGGTATGTTTAGATATTTGAGAAAAAAAGTGTCCGGGTACATTTGGTCAATTCACCCATAATTCACGTATATAAAGCAAACATTTAAAAAGATCCTCAAGGCAGAATCTGTATCACTTATGAACAAGAAAATGTGTTAATATCTAGATTTTCTTGTGTACATTATTTTCTCAGTACATTTTTGTGAATTTCGTAATGATAAATGGATTATTTTATAAACCCCAAGTTCATTCATAAAATTTTATTTTGCGTTGGAGAAATTATATTACCACTTTTATTAGTTGGGGTTAGAGATTACACCATAGATAAATGTTCAGAAGGATTTATATCAGCTTTATCACATTCATAATTTGTAGATTTTTATGTTGGTGTTTAGATATATTTTATTATTTGTCGTGGCTTCTAAATAACTTAATATTAGTTTCAAGTCTTTAGTTGAAGCATTTTTATGTTTGGTGTTCAGATATTTTTAAGTCTTTAGTTGAAACATTTTCAAACACCGTTTGTTATGGGTTTGAATGAATATATGTTTGGTGTTTCTAAAGTTTTCTGTCTTTAGTTGAAATGTTTTTTAAAAAAACGTTTATTATGGATTTTAATAAAAAAAATATAACGTATCGTGTGTCGATTTTTGATAAATGAATGAAATATTATGTATGTGTGTATGTATGTATACTTGTTGGTATTTTATTGGTATATTTTGATAAATAAAGTGCAATGCATTTAGGGTTTTTTCACGTATAAGTATATATATTTTAATCAATAACAATGTGTATGTCTCTATCAGTCTACATTGTGTGGGTACATATACAGATAACTAACGATGTTTATGTGTATATACTGATAACTAACGATGTTTATGTGCATAAAACTATGATCATGTGCATATATATTGGTAACTAACGATGTAATGTGCATATACAGATGACTAAATTTTGGTGAAGATTTTAACACCCAGGGGACACAAGAAATTAACATATTGCTTACCTTTATCTGGAAAACTTCTTACAACATTTGCATTATAAGGATTTTGTCTCTTTGCAAGTCCTCCTGCATCCGTCACATCTTGAAACAACTCTACCATATACTGTGGTGGGGACCGATGAAACACTTTAGCTGGTATTTTTGATATTCCAAACAATCGCGATAATCTGTTCAAAGCATCGTTTGGTTCCGACCCATCCGACTCCAAAGACATACATCCGAGAAATAACATGGCCTGTACGATGCAAACAATATACAATTTCATGGTGACAAAATGGTTAGCGCCGTTCAGTCTGGGTCTGTATGACCATAACATGGTGTCGAAAAAAAAACCAACAACAAATAATAAAACACAACAAAACAGCAGCAATAAAAAGGGGGTGTTGATAGATCCACTTAGAGAGAATGGCAGGTTTCCGCCACAATAAAGTGGTCACCGTATTACTCCGTTTGTGAAGACATAATAGTTTATCGTTAATCTTCTTGTCCTCGCTATTTGATAGAACATAATGCGTCCAATACACAAACAAATAACTGTAGGAAAGTTAACGGGAACCACTCTATGTTAAAGGCTGTTTATTTTCTAAGTATGTGCCACCTGGATAACTGCGACCACGTGTTAATACTTCAATATAACTTCATTGTTCCTGCTTATTAGCCGCTATTTGAGGTTAGCGCTTCATTCTATCAATACAGACCGAGCCGTATAAAAGAAGCGAACACCTGTGGGACTCGTCAATGAATGGTTTCTTGGCTAAGTTGGCTCAATGCTCGGTAAATAACGATAGATGTATAACTCCTTGATTTCGCCCTGCTGCAAGCAGAAGGGTCCTTATCAGCTCCCGGTGAATACATATACATATACTTACAGGGTATAGGGTTCCCCTCTTCACTACATTCACAGTTCCTGTCAAATCATTTTGTTTTTTCTCTCAAGAATAAGCTTGACTATCAAATTTGTAAAGTTGTCTGTTTGACAGAGTATTTTCTAAATGACTAGGATTTCTTGGGACTATAGCGTATGTAGAAGCCATTTATCCATCAAACTCGCACCGCCTACAAAGTTAACTTTCCTCCAACAAAAATCGCGGGCCTACATTATTGTAGTTTAAGTATATTGTTGTACTGATTTGATTGTTGTAATCAGATGATAACACGCTTCGTCTCTAATATTAAACTAACACTTTAATAAATCCTAAGCTCTAACGGTTTCTCCAGTAATAATTGCTTGTTTGTGTCTCGTCATGTTCAACCAATCTACTAACAAGCAAAACTTTGAGTGGCTTCTTCGTATATATGTATTCAAAGTAAAATTTCCCACACACTACTAATCTATTTTAGAATTATAATGCAGCTCCACTCAGCATTTGCAAGCTCGAATTTATTCCTTCTTAATTTTTATTATGATTTTCAGAAAAGAAATTCCATCTCAGTCTTAAGAATTGTCCTTTTTTTTTATACCGTTGGTGAAATATAAAGAATAACGCGGTAACACAATAATGTTTTAACACACCTGCGAAAACAATTACCTGAAAATAATTCACAGTTATATATTAATATCTATCTATGCATACTGAAGCCAGTAATATTTATACGTATCAGCCAACATGCACTGTGGGTTGTAGTAAGTTAAATATATAGCTGAAAGCATAACTAGAATAAAGATCGCCTACCAAGCTGTACAAAAAGAAAGAATTGAATAACCCCGGAATTTGGGAAGAAATTGAATCATTTAAAGAGCGGAATTCAACCGTGAAAACGTAATTTATATGTTATAAATTAACTCAGAAAAAAGATTAGATGAACAAAAACATTGCATTTCATACTGTCGCAAAATGTTGCCTCTGCGAAGTTATTCACAAACAATATTCTTCTATTAGTGCTTATTTAAAATATGATTTGTTCAGTATTTAGAAGTAATTTAATTGTTTGGGGTTTATCTCGAGTAGCTTAAGTATTTTCTGTTGATAAACTACTTGTCGCTCTTTCTTGGTTAGTCATCGCGTTGGATAAACTTACTGTGGTTTAATTATGAATTGAATATTATCATATATCCAGGACCGGACTGAGTAGCTCTTGAACCTCGGACCAACCTGTTTTCTTGGGCACTCATCGAGGTGAATAATACGTAACATGACGAGAAACGAAACTGTCTTGATTCACACTCATATTTCATTTTTCTCTTCGGATTTAGGCCATTATATTTTTCAGTGGATACGAAGACGAATTTTATTTATTTTGGGAAACAATGTATGTCCATTTTATTCAAACCGAGGGCGACGGCCCTCGGACCTCGTCCGACGGTCCGTGTTCCCCGTACGACCCTGCATGAATCTAGTCTAAAAATGAAGTAGTTCATAATCGATTTCGGCACTACTCTCCCGTTTATTGATAGTCAGACACTGGCAGTTGCTTCGTCGTGGCAGATTAAATCCCATCTCGGGGTTCATTCAGCAACTTACTTTTGTACAGGTATTAAAGATGACAGTCTAATCTATGTCTTTAACTATCGCAAGACACGGGGGATCAGTGAGTTAAGGCGATGGATCAGTGAGTTAAGCCGCTGGCTCACTAACCAGGCGGTGCCGATGTTGGTCGAGAGAGTTCCTCGGGAAATGGGTGTTAACGACATGGGGAAACCACGCCGGAAAAACCCGAGGAACTTTTTCGGCCAACACCGGGAGCGAACTCGAGACCTCCTGGTTAGCGAGGCAGCGTTTCATCCACGGAGTCACCAAGGTCCCTGCCCCAGATGTAAACTTTAGGGCGTATCTAATAAAGCATTATCCTAATCTCTATTTCTTGATTTATATTTTCCCCGTGAAATTTCAACCGAGTAAATTATATTAATAAAGAGAGGAATCGATGGCTGAATTCAGATATGACCAGAAATTTCAATCGAACCCGGATTTGGTTTAATACGGATCGTGGGGATTAGCTTTAATCAATGACATCGTTGATGTCAGAATCTGATGGTGTGAATTACTGACACCGATTGCACAGGTGAAAAACTCGTTAAACATTGAAGCACCGTGTTGCTTTGATTAAGTAATTAAGTTTAAACGTTTAATCAATGGTTTAAGTGTGATGTTTAACGACTTCGTTTCTTTGATGATTGGTTTCCGAAATAAATAGAAATCCCGGGAGGTTTTACAGTGATTTCTCAGTTATTATAACAGGCTATTATGAATGAAACCAATTGATTAGCTTATACATCATTAAAAAACGTTTGAATAATATCACTTTCAAACGAAAATAATGCGAGTTTCATACAGATGGGAACGCAAATAAATCCATATATTGTTATTGTTCTTTCAAAACGATAATTTATGTACCCGTTTCTTTTGATTTATTCAAATCGAAAATCGTGTCTTCGTTCATGTGATTTGAATAATAAAAAACTGAATAGTTAATTGCACTGAATACTGCACTGAATATTTCATTGCACTGAATAATTCATTACACTGAATAATTCATTGCACTGAATATTACATTGCACTGAATAGTTTATTGCACTGAATAGTTCATTGCACTGAATAGATATTCGCATTAAATAGTTAATTGCATTAAATAGTTAATAGCATTAAATAGTTAATTGCATTAAATAGTTAATGGCATCAAATAGTTAATGGCATCAAATAGTTAATGGCATTAAATAGTTAATTGCATTAAATAGTTAAATGCATTAAATAGTTAAATGCATTAAATAATTAATTGCATTAAATAGTTAATTGCATTAAATAGTTAATTGCATTAAATAGTTAATTGCATTGTTAATTTAATTGCATTGTTAATTTAATTGCATTGTTAATTTAATTGCATTGTTAATTTAATTGCATTAAATAGTTAATTGCATTAAATAGTTAATTGCATTAAATAGTTAATTGCATTAAATAGTTAATTGCATTAAATAGTTAATTGCATTAAATAGTTAATTGCATTAAATTGCATTAAATAGTTAATTGCATTAAATAGTTAATTGCATTAAATAGTTAACTGCATTAAATAGTTAATTGCATTAAATAATTAATTGCATTAAATAGTTAATTGCATTAAATAGTTAATTGCATTAAATAGTTAATTGTATTAAATAGTTAATTGCATTAAATAGTTAATTGAATTAAATAGTTCATTGCATTAAATAGTTCATTACATTGAATAGTTCATTGCATTAAATAGTTCATTGCACTGCATTGAATAGTTGAATAGTTGAATAGTTAATTGCATTGCAATAAATAGTTGAATAGTTAATTGCATTGCAATAAATAGTTGAATAGTTTCTTGCATTACATTGAATAGTTTCTTGCTTTACATTGAATAGTTTCTTGCATTACATTGAATAGTTTCTTGCATTACATTGAATAGTTTCTTGCATAACATTGAATAGTTTATTGCATTACATTGAATAGTTTATTGCATTAGATATTTAATTAAATTAAATATTTAATTGAATTAAATATTTAATTGAAATAATTATTTAATTCTTTTGAATTGAACAGATGAATTCTTTTGAATTGAACAGATGAATTCTTTTGAACTGAACAGATGAATTCTTTTGAATTGAACAGTTGAATTCTCATGAATTGAATGTTTAACGTCGTTTTTTTTACTCATTTTACGCCCCCTTACTATTTTACGTACCCATTTATACTAAATAGGAAATATTTTTTTTATCCAGATACACTTATTTGTTCTTAATCATTTATAAGATGCAGAAGAAAAAAAAGTTAATATCAAGAGCTATTGGTGGCCAAGTAAATTTTTACTGCTGATCAGTTTGTTATTATTGACCTCTACACACTTACATATACATAAATTATTCTGAATACATTATTACATAGTTGTGTATGGTACATCTATAAAAGTGAAACGAACACCACTGGCGAATTAGTGCAGTACCAAGTTAAAGACAAGATCCAAAATACATATTTAATAGCATCATTTGCAAAATTAATAAAGTTGGCAGATTGGACAATAATTAGCACAGCTGCTAAGAGATGTTACTGCAGAAGGTGGTAATACATAATTCTAAATAATTTACACCAAATACCGAAAATATCTGACATGTTTTCACAGCAATCATTCTGCTCTTTTAAATTAGTTTTAATCCAATTACCTTCAATATCTATTCCCGTCTTTTGTAACACGTTACAGTCAAAACAAGCAGAGCGTTCGTCAAGTATCGTACTGCTAATTATAGTAATCTGCTGTTTAACCCAAGTAACTCACAAATCATATCACACAGGGTAACGCACAGAACTTTAAATTTAAAGAAAGGTAGGGCATATATATAGGAGAAATTCATCTTTTCTATTTAATAAATATCTCCACCAAATAGGGTAAATAAAAGAAATTAATTCTTTTTATTTTAAAAAATGGCATCATCATTAATTAAAGCCCACGATCGTCATTTACATTTTTCGGACAACATCCAATTTTTTGTCGACTTACAGGTACTATACGGGAGGACGGTTATGACAGTGTCACCCGGCAATAACTTACAAGTTAAGCCAACAAGAATGTTCACAAGTCAGCAGTGTATGTAAAAGACCTTTATTTCAAGTATATTAATTTGGATGGGATTGCATACATGATATAGTAATTTAAAGAAGCGACATGTGCTAGTTTTCGGTGATCTAGATTAACAGTGGCCACCAACATTATACACTCATATATTATTATGTCTTAGACAAACCAGGCGCGAGTCCAGGGTGTGTGTGTGTGGGGGGGGGGGCAGAGGGTCGGGACCCTCCCTTGCTGGCGCACAGCATATTTGTTTTCTCGTACATTCGTCGAAATAACATCGAAAAAACTATCGTGCAAAGCACTGCCATCGTGTTGGCCCCACCCCACTGTTATCCGATACATATATGCACCTGAATGAGCAGAATATTGTCTCAAAGATTCTGATTTTATCAAATTCATGGGTAATCCCCCAGACCTTGTCCCGCGGCTCAAATTCCTGCAGATGCCCTTTACAAACCAGTCGCCATTGCACGGGCCAGTCACGAATTATGCACGAATCTGTTTGAATTTGTTTATTGTTTCGTATACATTATGATCTACAATCATAGCGAGTTCTAACTTCAGCGTGAATGTTTGGTTTTCAGACGCACACAAAGAGTTATTCCCCTTTAATCTCCACAAATTATCGCAAACTAATGATAAATTACCAAATATTATATGTTAAATAAGTTTCGATATACAGGGGTTAATGTCATTTTGGGACTACAAATGTTATGGTAATATTAATCCAATAATTTGCTTGCATGTAGGGGTCTTTAGCAACGGGAAGAGATAGGCGAACTCGGGTAAACCCAAGAAATCAGGATGGAAACCTTACCGCAACATGACTCAACAAAAACAAATCTTATGACCCAAAATGCACGTGTTAGACCACACGACACCGTACCCCTAAAGAGAGACACGTGAGACCAAAGTGAATTCAATGAACCTTATATTATCAGATATAACGTCACCCATTATTATATAGCGAGATTTTATACGTGCGTTAAACGTCGTATATCTACCCGGTTCATATGAAAATAATATTACCAAGGTCTCAATCAATCATTAAGACAGAGAAAAAAATAAATATATTTCAATGTTTATAAAGAAAGTATAATATTAGTTTCACGCAAACCCTATCAGTATATCGTGTCAATCTGGTTTGACGTTCGACCAGAAAATTGGATTTGAATTATTAATGACATCTTTTCATCTTTGACAATTGGAAAGAACGATAACTCTTCTTGGAGATTCCCCCTGGGATTAAAATCTCGAAGTAAATAACTCTATTAGCTATAATTAAATTGCCCACTAAGTCACACCTTGTGAATAATTAATGAGTGTTGGATAAATTAATGTTACCCGTCCCTTAAATATTCAATATACCTGTTGGCAAGCGAGCAGGTAACGTCATTTAAACCCAAAGAAAACGTCTGCCGAATTCCAACCACTGAGGCTTTCCAAGGAGTAAGTTTGCCTTCATGGCAAATCCAAACATTTTTACGCTTTTGGTTTGTCTTGGAATCGGAAAAGGTAAGAATTTTCTTACATATGTTTTGCATTTAATTCTTACAGATCAACCGATTACGTCATGTGGAATTTAAAAAAATTAAATGGCTAACATAATAAGAACTAAGCGGATTAATCAGTGACAGATCAGGGCGAGGGTAACAGAGGCAAATGCTTCAGACCCGGGCCCCTTAGGATTTGGTGACAACATTTTTTTATAGTTTATAGAGAAAAATAATGAAGACCCATATTTCCCCAAAATTGTGAACCATAATGGCTTTTTTCGATGAGTTTTGAAATTATTAACTAGTGGGACCTCAAGGGGCATGGTCAGAAAAAAATGATATCAACGAATCAGAAATGTTTCCATAACCCGACTGGGATTAATATGGAGTAAAACGAGATTCAAAATAGTTTAGAAATATTTATTTTCAACATAAAGATCAATTGAAATGAAGATTTTCGCCCAAATTTATACGACGAAATAATTTGGGAGTAAAGATAGGACACAAAATTGTTTAGATAATTTATTCCTCCATAAAGAGGAATTATATTGGGATTATCGCCCAAAAGTCACCAAACATTTATTTACGTCATGCTTTTTGCCTTAAAGTTAAGCGCAACTGATCGAGAATGGACGTTTTGCTTAAAGTAAATATGTAACTAACAGTGATAAATTTTGTTGTTAAAGTTTATATAATAATGACTCATCTAATTGGAAAAATTATTATTTATTTAAATCAAAATATTATTCGACACAGTCACTAATTGTATTACCTATCTTTGTGCATATTCAAGAATTAGTACAAAATATATTTAATTACAGGATTGTTTGTATCTTCAAGTGAAATTCCTATAACAACAAGTTTACAATATTATGAAGACGTGACACCATTATTTTCTGTAAACGAAACAAGAGCTGGAAGTTATGTTGACCTCGGTTCCTACCCACATTGGTGCCTGGGAAATATAACTGACTGTCAAAATGGCTTAAGTGTTGCCCTATGGACAAAGGCGTTGCCGGCCACCGCTAGCACAAAAAACAGAATCCTCATTACAAATGGTGGCCATGTTGAAAATGGCGAGGGATTTTATATAATGCAGGAATATGGTTACCAGTATATAGTGGTAGTAAACTCGGGAACTAGTGTGTGGAAAGGCAGCTTCTTTTTAAAACCGGGAGTTTGGATTCAGGTCGCGTTTTCATGGTCCGAGACCCCAGGACTGAAGTTATTCACAGACGGTTTTGAACAGTTATCTGTGACGTCACCGGAAGTAAGAGAATTAGGGATGTCGGACTACCAGGAATCCAGTGATATATATGTTGGTTTGGACGAATATGGAAAACCATTCGATTCGTCTGAAAGCTTTTACGTGCGAGATGTAACTATTCACAATACAGCAGCAAAGATTGACGAGCTCACCAAAACATTGGGTAAGAAAACAGATTTAGCTGATATATTTCTTTATTTAAAATAGTACGATTGACTGATAATCTTCAAAAATATCGATTTGGTTAATTTTATATCAAAGGACAAATGAACTGGAATGTTTTTAAAAATATAATAAAATGGGATTTAACGAACTACTTGTCTTCACCAACTGGGCTAATGAGGGGAAGCTTTGCCCGGACAGCGGTCACGTTAACGGGTTCTTCGTCCCAATCGAGAGAATAGACACGACCCGTGCATCCCTGATAAGAGGAAATCACGCCGAAAATTCGGAGGAACTTCCTCGACCAACACCTGGACAAGCAATTATCGTGCAAAATTCTTTATCTTGGACATCCACTTCAAATAACGGGACAATAAGTCATGAACCCAAAATATGTTGTTGTTTTTGTTTTGTTTTTTGAAATTTAAGAAAAAAATATTTAAACTTTTAAAATAAACCTCGGTCTTTCTTTCAGTCCTGTTGTCCGTTTAATAAATTATCAGTCCTCTAATATAGATAATGATTAAAATGTATGACAATATTATACTACTGCGTATTATACTGACGTCAAGATAACCCCGTTTCCAATAAATCGATTATCGATTAATGATTCTCTCATTTGACGTGCGTGTATATCAAAATCCACAGTAGGTATTTAATTATCTAGTCGTTGAATAATACATAATCTACAGAAATGAGATTTAGAACAGTCACGATTGCCTTGGACCACCATCACTCCGATTGACGTGTTTGATCTATCCGTGACAATCTCATGTCCAGAAAGTAAATCTATTATTGAACTTTCTTCAAGTTCCGATTACTACTTATCACATTGTCTTTAATTGTATAAATAAAAAGACCCCAATTAACCTACTTGTACTTACTTTATTATAAGCAATTGAGCAAGGTTACTGACCCCCGAATAGTTACCTACAAGACATAAGGGAGCCACGATGACGTAATCAGTAAGATACTGGCTCATTCGTTATTGGGCGGCAAAGTTCCTCAGGCCTTAACCTTGTCTTTGGTGTGGGATGAGGAAGAGCACCTAATGGCTCGGGTAGGACGAAAACTCGTGGTCCATCGCCCTCCTTTGCGTGCATGTAAAAGAACTCTTGGCAATTGGAATTCGAAATAAGAGAAAACCGCAGCGCCCCTGTCCAGACAAAATATCCCATACAAGACACTACATGGTGCACGATTCCTTAGCTCGATTGGGAAATTAGAAAGTTAAACCCTAGTTCATTTCATTTACAGGACATAAGGTGGTAACCATGTAACACCCATGTAGTAGGTTGATCTAAGATAGCACGTTTTAATTTGTATATAAAGTAGATTCGGTTATTCAATTCCAAGTAAACACTATCGCTTAAACCAGGCCCGTAGCTAGCGAGGGGGGCGGGCAATTTGGGGTCCCAAAACTGAGTGATAATCTTCACAATTCAAACAAGTCGCATTCTAACAAGATTCCGAACTTTTCGTTTTTCTCATAAATTATTGTAGTTTCGCTAAAGACGTATTCCTTCCTTGAAATTTTTATAATGTTCACATCAAAATATCATAATACGCCAATTTTCCATTATTTACATAAATCCCCTCCCAAGGTGCAAGCCATCTTTTCCTGAAATGTTTGGGAAGAGAGCATCGACGCCCTCAGTAACCACATCGGCACCCCCAGAAGCCTTTGCCCCCCTCCACAACATTTTTGGCCTAGCTACGGGCCTGTAAACATACATTATGCAAGAGGTAAATCTGCCTATTGCAAGTCTTTCTTTAGGCCTGAAATGTGATATAAACTATTAATTAGACATTTATTAAGATGAGAATACTATAATCACCCCCGATGTCATCTGATGCTTCCGTTTTTTATTAGATGTGACTCCACTGATGATTAAACGCAAAAATGGATAATCGAGACTTTTTTTTTTATTTTCGTCACAACGAATTTTCAGAATATTCCCGTTACATTATCTATTATTTAACTATTGTAGTGAGATCTGTCAGCTCTTTATATAATCTCCAATAATGTATCTTTAAGGTATGATATAGATAGATAATGTACAAGGAGGGAACCTTGAGACCACCCTATATTCATCCATGTATTACTTTACAATGGGTTTATTACTCGATAATAACCCTAGACTTTAACTGAAATTACTCGGATGAAAATTAAGTACAATACGGCGGCCATATTCTGAGAGTAACATGTTCATTTCAATGGTTATGTGTGCAATTTAATGATGGGATTTTACGTTCACGCCAGCGTGTACACAATGTTATTTTACGACAACGCCCATGTGTACACAGTGGCCTCGATGTTTGGTACCACTCGTGACCCAAGACAAGTGAGAACCTACTTGAAAAATCACGATGATTCTTCTAAAAGAGTACGCAAATACATTCTATATCAAAATCGAAACCTTGATTTTAATTTGTGTATGTATAAAATGTTTATATTCTGTCTGTAGATGAAGCAATACGTCAAGGCTGCAGCGAGGCAATAACACCAACTGAACCTATCGTAGATGTTACGTCTGATCCATATCCAATCTATGCTTGTCGTTTACATTGTAAGACCGAGGGGAAGCTGATAGCCTTACTCAAAGAATTGAAGGATTGCTCCTGCAGTGATGTGGAACCTAGCCTGGACGCCAACATCCAGTGTGTGGCAAGTGCTTGGATTGGGTATCTGGTGTCTCATGCTAAGCCACAAAATGAAGTGAAGATGAACATTTGGTATGAAAAGTTAAGCAGCAGAGCATATGTAATGCCGGGCGAAGATGTCAAAATCTTTTCTAATCTTACAGAAGAAATTGATGTTACTTACGAGTTCATCTTTGATGCTGGGAATATGCTGGAAGTGCGACCACCGATATTTTATCATTGGGATGTTCCTGGCAATCATAACGTTACTGTTAAAACTCAGATCGGCCGAGAGGAAATAATAGGATCAATTGAAATTGTCGTAGAGATCGTTGACGAAGGCGTTGGACCAAGGTTTGTCAGTGCTGAAATTGGACACAAGCGAAAAGCGAAATACGCTTTTTACAACATTTATAGCGCGGACGATTACAACAGAACATGCGAACTCCACGAAGGTGATGGTATAATCAAGCCTTTTCCTTCAACAATGAGCCCATTCCATAAAAACATTGCTGTTAAAATATATCGCAATCCAGGTCAGTATAATGTAAGCGCAATTTGTACAAATATTTATGGTAACACAACTGACTCTAAATTGTTTTTGGCTCGAGACTTTAATGTTAAATCCGTATATCAGGATCAGTCTAAGGACTACATCATCAAAGTGGACGGAATCGATGCCTTTAAGACAGCTATGACAGTAGAACTGAATCAAACACAAGCCAACTTTGAGCTTAACGCCGATGGTGTGAAGGTTTTAGCATCTGGGTTAATCCCAGGTTCGGATAATCTTCTTACATTAGCTGCTGGGGATGTCCGACTCAGCACAACCATTTTACGAGCAGAGAAACACCTCCCTTACCCTGCTATCACATGTAACACGACAAGAGGCGAATGGAACATGAACGTGGAATTCACCTTTGAGATCCCAGCCGGAGATCATATCATAGCAACAATAGATTATGGTTTAGGGGAATCTGAGAAGGAATTTTATTATGTACTTGACGCTCCGACAACCCGGTACATCAACACAACAAAATCATTCACGGAGCTCGGATTCTTTACAGTTACGTTAACGGTTAATAACGACATATCCTCAAGGAGTTGGTTAAAATCGTTGTCCGTCGAGATACCCATAACATCTGTTAGTGTTACGGCCAGTAACGTGACGTCTTTATCCCAACCAGTCGTATTTAACGTGGACGTAAACAGCGGAGAGCGGGGACCGGTTGATGTGGATATAGAGATCGATTTTGATGACGGAACAGCGCCGGTAATTTTAAAACACCACAATACTGATAATACTGGCTTTAGTACATTCCAGTATTCATACACTTATTCGAACTGGGGGATCTATGATGTGAAAGTTCGCGTTTTTAATAACATTACTTCCGTGTTTGGCAATATCATCCTACAAGCTGGAGAAAATATAACATTCCTAGATGTCACGACTGAAGCGGAGAGAATATCTACCAATAGCGATGTTTCTTTTTCCATTACCTGTCCAACTGGTTCTGACATAACGTATGATATGACTTTTGGCGATGGTACCACGTTTACTCTCCAAGAATCTTCTACAAACCCAACCAGTAACAGCCATACGACTGCACAGCTAGAATCGGATAACACTGTTACAATGACGCATACTTATTTCACACCAGGGTATTATACAGTAAACGTCACAGCAGAAAATGTATTTGGTACTGCCACGACCACATTATGTCCCACGGTTGTTGTTGATAGCACGGAGACTACCGATCCACCTGTTTGTTCCATTACCATGGTGACATTTAGAGACATGAATTCCTCATTAACGAGTCCGTTTAATGTGAAGCGATCAGAAGACACATTGATTACAGTGGACGAGGAAATGAGCTGTAAAATTAACGCAACATCAAACTTCTCGTGGAAAGCCTCAAAGATGGTTTTGGATGGTGGAACCCAAAGCGAGGAAACAGTTCATGAAATCTGTTTGTTTCAAGAGAAGAACAATACTTTATTAATTCCAGCTCTAGCTCTGTCATACGGTCTTTATAAGATTACAGTGACTGTGGCACCTACCGACCATGATCTTATCAGCTATTCAAAAACTCTCTACCTCCAAGTTGTTATGTCGAACCCTGTCGCGGTCATGGAAGGTGGTGAGGTGCAGAGTTTTCTGGTTTACGCGACAGCCATATTTGATATTTCAAATTCACGTGACCCTGATCTGCAAACAGATTGGCGTAGAAAATTATCGTATCATATGTTTTGCATGCCTGAATATAAGCTAGCTAGTGTCGAAGACAAAAGTTTAAAGGAATTGCAGACTTTGGGTTCTAAGATCGGTAATAAGACCATGTATCGGACTGCCACTAAAAATGACATTAACTTCTATCAGATAGAAACGTGTTTTAACAATACAGGAAGTCTTATGGAAGACTTAGCTGTTTACAACGGAAAAGTTACCTTCGCGGCTAATCACTTTCTTGGTAACTTTTTCTCGTTTGGATTTATGCTGTTTGTGTCGAGGGAGGGGTTGGTGAGTGGAACAAAGCAGATTGTGGAGGTGAGAAAGAGCAATGCTAGTTTGGATGATTTGAGTTCACTGTTAGATATAGCTTTAAATGCTGACCCGGATACAGCTATTAGATTGCTAGATGGTGCTGCATCTTCAATTCTTAATGCCTCGGTAAGACAATTATCTTAAACTATGATATATGCATATGACAAATAATATGTAGAATATGTTTTATATATCTATGGGCTTCGTCGGATTGGAGCGATGGAACTAAATGAATGCACCCACTACAATGGTTGTTATCTACTTCATGCTCTAGCAGACTTAAGTCACTAACGAGGGTGTCCCGGATTCGACCCTGGTTAACACCGCGGAAGGATTTCAGGATTTTTCAGCCTGATTTCTGGTAAGGAATATCATCTAGTCGTTCAGAAGAACCATGACCTCGTGTATGCCATTGGATGTCTGTTTAAGATTCCCGTTCCGTTGGAAATTGAATTAAACGTTTACCCCCCCCCCACCCCCGAAGCAGAATCTGTATAAAACATAATCATATTTCAACATATTTTTGATTTCTCAATGAAAACGATATTCCTTTTAAATGACAACTCTGCTTTATTTATTGCCCGAAACCTTTTACTGAATTCAATTCTTTTTCAGCCTACATCCGTGGATGACCAAGAAAAGTTGGCCAGTGTAAGTCATGGGATTCTCTATTGTCTTATCATCAAACTATTAATTATCTTTTGTCAGTCAATCTCATTTGATTGTTTTCAGTTTTCAGTGATTTGAAATATAATTATTTGACATGAACTTATTTCAATTCCAAACAGTTAATTAAAATTACTGTAGTACATGTATTATCGCCCTAATGTAGAATGTTTACTATTGTGGTTTCATTTTATTGTATTTACCTCTAGTCCACAGAAGCGGTGGTTGGAACTCTGGGATCTGTAGCTAAAAGGGTAGATAACTCCAATCAAGCCACAAAATGTGCTAAAACATTTGGTACAATGACAAGTAACAAAGCCCTCGTTAACGAAGAATCCAGGGTATGTAGTTCACCATCGTGTCAATTTATGTGTATATCTAGTAACAAAATGAATTTTTAAATTTTTATCCAGGAATAAAATATATATTATCATCGCTCTTAAGGGGCAACCAAAGTCGGATATACAAACTAAGACAAAACAGTGCCATGGCTGGCTCGTGGGCATCGTCTGGCGAACATTGCGCTCCAATAGCAAATTATTATTAGGTGTTTGATTTCGAATAAAGTAAGCAAGAAAACACCCACAACTACTATTTTAGTACGACAGAAATAGCGTTTAAAGTCCACTCATTTCGGGACTAATATTAAAATATTTCGCTTGCTTGCGCTATTTAAGCATACGTTATTGCATTAAACGGGAGATAACGATGGGAACATTTAAACCTTTCAGTTTCCTACACTTACTTTGGTTTTGGTCAATAATGAAAAAAATGGACATAGGTTGCCTGTGGTGTCTTTAATCTCTAAGATGAAATATGTATAATCATTGAACCTAAAGGATGATTTACTGGTGATACATCCGAGGGAAACTCAACGGTATTGTATATCTACGAGAGCTTGTGCACAGACCGACTAGATAAGCAAACAGAAACGCACAGTTGGTATCTAAAACGTTACTTTATCCATGAAACACGAATAACCCATAGCTTTTCATTTCATTTGATTCCAACAGAGCAAAGCTGCACAAGGGTTAGGAGATCTAGCTAATGGTACAGCTAATATGGGCGATGCCACTGTCGACGATGCTTCTAATTTTGCGGGAGGTAATTTTATCCTTTAATGTAAATAACTTTTGGAAACTGTAGTCCAACAAACAATTATGACAAATCAATCACTTTATCTGAGACCATGTTTCACACTTATGATTATCTTCTAATTTTCTATAATTCTATCGACCTGTCAAAAATTGCATGCTTACTCTTTTTATATTGCAGCTTGCCTTGGAGGATTTGATAATATTTTCCCAGCAGTACCCGTGGAAACTGTGAAACGATCAAGACGATCTGCTGGCCAAGCACCTCCAGCATCTTTTGATACAACCATGTCACCGCTAGATTTCACCACTAGTAGTTATTTCAATGACCAACCCGAGGAAACCGTTCAAGAACTGTCAATGGCACCGTGCGATGTAGCGGGTAGACTTTTGGACAAACTACCAGAATTAAACACCTACGATGAACTTCTTTACTTCATCTGTGACGATTGTGCATTATTCCGAAAAATCATGCGAAGTCAAACAGTGCAATCAGAATGTCCATGTGTAGATGTTGATGATATTAATGCTATGCAGTGTAGTGGCGATTTTACTCTGCAAGATAAGATATTTGCTGTCATGACCTATCTTGAACACCCAGGAGATCTCTATCAGTATTATGTTAAGCCACTTCTCGAAGCAAAGGCTCAAAGAGATGAAGAACGTCGTCTAACGGTTTGTTTCATATTAGATATAGTTATTTTGTCAAAATTTATAATCCCCTCCAAACATTTACCATATTCTTAATGCAATTGTCAGGTTTGAGTAGCGCACAGGACCAAGACTCATTGGTATTTAGAAAATGTAATGGAACAATGGTATTATTTTCTAAGTCTTACATTAGTCATGCTGAAAACAGTATTCATTGTTATACATGTAGATTTGGACCAGAATTTGGTCCCCAAGCACTACTCATCTTATTGTTCTTGGGGGTGACGCTAACAGCACGTTCAGTTAAACTGGTTTACAATCCCCTGCGATCGTTAAACCAGTTCCACTTGCGCGTCTGACTACAAAGGTGGGACAAAACATCAGTTCTTTACCTGTCTTCGAGATGGCTTTTCTCAAAAGCTGTCTTATCTTGGCCGTCTGAACGGGTCGGCCCAGCTTGGTTTGGGTATGCACAGTAAGCACATGCGTAATTAACTCTAACCGTAAAGGACAAGTCAAAATAGTACCGGTGAACGCAACACTGCCCTGTCTTGAAATCCCTGGCGATTTTGAACTAGTTTAAACATAAGCGCCCGAACGGTCTATACGGCCCGAAAAAAACTTTGGATGCATGTTCCTTAGACAAATGTTCATCGATCGAAGGATGGCTGTTATGGTGTCATACCCAATCCGTAGTTATTCGACTAGTCTACCACGTGTACTGTTCCCAAATTTTATTTTTTTTTAACAAAAAATGGTTAGGACGGTATGCTAAAATGGATCTAATAGGGTGCATCTCTGTCTTTTTTAGGATGGAAAAGTCTCCAAAGCTGGATCAGATGCCTTGATGACTGTAGCAGGAACAGTTAATGATAAAGCACCTAAAGAAGATACATCCACACGAAGTTTCCAGTCTAATCGACTTGGACTAAAGGTTCAGAAAATTAACAGTAATAAAAATGGCACAGCAAATGGTGGGTCTTTGTATATATTAATTTTGTAATATTTTAAATTACTACTGTATATAAGAAGCATTTTGTATTTGAATACATTTACTTGTTCATATATCACCGTCGAGGTCACCGTATTTCAAGTAGTTTGGGCATCTGAATTTCAGTTTCAAGCTAAGGACTAAATCAATTATTGTTTGTCTATCTGTATTGAAAGGTTTATAATAGAACACTTTTCTAATCTTAGAGTCTGGAAGTCAGTCCATGGAGATGCCAACCGGTGCTTTTAATTTACCTCTTGGTATTTTAACTGGCGCAGCTGATTGTGAAAATGTTAATACGATGGTAAGCTATAATGATAATTTATACTATGTATCTAAAACCTTAAATATCTACTGAGCACTGAACACCACTTCTCAATTTTTGGGAATGTAACTCCTCCATTATCCAGTAATGTATTTTGTTTAAACTTTTCCAGTCTTTACATTTTTAAGAACTAAACAGAAGACTTACTGCCCTTTTTCTGTTTATTTTTTTAAACAAAAAAATCCCCATGTTCTTTAAAGTATTTAAGGGTAGGTTTGTTTTATTTTAGTTTTTAGGAGACAATGACAATCCATACACATTTTCAAAGGAGAAAGCTAATGTTGGTAAAGGTGTTCTGTCTTTAGGCTATTCATGTAATGGGGAGAAGGTTATCGTGCAGGATACGGATGAACCAATTGAGCTGTGGATGAATCGTAAGTGCTAATGTATACGTATATTTATATTCTAATTTGCATGATGACGGTATTATTGTTCTGATTTGTTTGTTGATTTGACCGCTAGTATTTCGGTACTATATTTACACATCCGCGGAACTATCGGTGGATTTAGCTATGATAGAAATGATCGACCATCTGATGAGAGTTACGGTTGTATCTGCAATAACTAAGATGGGTGTTTTATACATCTACATTTGAGTAACTTTGATGATCAATCGCCTGGCGGTAACTGTCTGGATGTTAGTGTCTACAATGAACATTTGGCGTTTGAACCGTCTTCCTGATAAGTAGTTCTTTTATGCGTTTACTTTTTGTAAAACATTATATGCCAATTCTGGTTTATTTTGGAAATTTACGTATATTGCGATAGTTTTGTCTGGCAAGAAAAGGCTTCTAGTCTTTCGGATGGTACGAAAACCCGAGACCCAGTGCATGCCATTGATGGAACGTTGAATATCCCCTGCCTGTTTTTGTTGATGCAGAAAAGTTTATATTGTGGAGTATTTTATTTTCTTCTTGCAGGTGATTCTGATGCCTATGTGGCAGGTACCTTCGTTTTATTGACCAGATGGGGTGAAGACAAGATATCCTTCAACTACCATCCTGTTAACCTCACAGATAGAAATGCTTCACTGCAAGTTGTGTTAAAACCCGGAGCTAGCACCGAGTCTTTTTATGTTTATGTTAGTTATGACATTCGACCGAATGAAACACATTATGATTTCATGGACACAGTTCCCAAAACAGATATATCACACCTTGGAGAGATATTGGATCCTTTAGCTGTAGAGGAACTTCTTTATACTGTCACAATACCACCAGAATTGACATCGGAGAATGGTACATACTGGATTGGTGTCAAACTGAAGCGTACGTATCTCATAGTTATAGTTCAATAAACATCAATCTTTTATGGCGACAGGACTGTGGAAAACCATAGTAACATGGTTGACAAGAAGCACTACATATAAAATAACAGTAATACAGTAAATATAGATCATTACAATAATTAAAGCACTGTAATATGTAATGAGGCACATGGACATTAAAGAATGCCCTTGTAAGTACTGCAGTCCAAAGACATGGACGGTAAAAACCATTTAACCATCTTGGATAAATGTTTTTATTTTTTCAACCACGACGTATCTATAATTGTTCGTACCTGAATTATAATAACATGTATATGATTTTGCATTTAATATTTTTTATAAACGCAATAGGTAGACTGATATAACAGTAAAATGTTCACGTTGTATCGACCTGGTTAACGTGGTGGCCAACATAGCAGTGTAACCATTCTCGTTTCGAACCTAGAGAGGTGGTATTGTCTAATGTCTAATTGATCAATCAAAACTCAATATTCACCCATAACCATGTTATAAATAATATATGACACATTTTATAAATGTTATTTAGGCGGTACCGTATCTTTAACTGGTGAGTTATCAAATCATACATACAGTTTATTAAACTTGATATCTGGATGTCGATACTGGGATGAAGACAACGAAAGATGGTCGTCTGAAGGATGTAATGTAAGTACCGTCATACAGCTTTTGTCATTTTTATATCATCACCATCATTATCATCATCATCATCATCATCATCACCATCATTTAGGCAGGATAAACATAGTCTTCGTATAATACATGTACATATTAGCACATTTATATCGGATTTCATAAAGCAAGTGTTTATGTATGATACAGATATTTATTAATTATTCTTTATTCATTATATTTTATTTGTGTGTAAACAAAAGATTTTTAGTGAAGTACAGTCCTTGTTAAATGGTTACTAAATTAACAGATGATCTATACGAATCCGGAAATTAAACTTAAATAATATTTACGGAACACTCTGGAGCTTCAAACAGCTCAATGGGGATATGGTTCCAAAGCTCACAAACTGTGCTAGGTGTAGTGTTACCTTTCTGCACTATTCGGGATAATGAAGCCGAACAGTCTCGTTTCCGCCTGCTATTCATCGAATTTTAACTATCAAGTACCTTTTACGTGCACACCAATGTTTACACGGGGCCTCGGATTTTCTTACCATCCGAAAAACTAGAACTGTTTTTTATGCCAGGCCCTTTGTTTGGCACCAACCACACTTTCTCAGCCAACACTGGGATCGAACCCGGGCCCCTCTCGTTTTTTGAGCAATCGCCATGCCCACTGAGCCACCGTGTCTCCCCTGTTTCTAGTAATATGTTTGTTTAATACTTCTGAAATTACCATGAAAGTTATATTTCGTTATTTCAGGTTGGTCCGCAAACAACAAAATATAAAACACAATGTTTCTGTAACCACTTGACATCATTCGGATCTGATTTTGTTGTACCAGTGAATACCATTGATTTTACCAATGTATGGGCCAAGTTCAACAACCTTAGTGAAAACGCTGCTGTATTTTCAACTGTTATTACAATACTTTGTCTATATCTGATCTCGCTGATATGGGCAAGACATATGGACAAGAAGGATCTTCTGAAGGTAGGTACTATGCTTTTTTAAAAAAAAAGCAACGATGCCTCAATTTCTCACGGCTTAATCCACGGCAATGTTCCCCCATTTAACATTTAATTAAGAACACAAAATCAAAACTATTTGAGCTGGCGTGGTAAGACCTTTTTTGTACAGGACAGATCCTTTAATTTGTGTATGTATTGTTTGTGTTTAGTGGGGAGCCATGCCCTTAGCTGATAATCTACCAACAGATAACTACCACTACCAAATAGCCGTACAGACAGGCATGAGGAAGAACGCGGGTACAGAATCTAAAGTCAGTTTCATTTTGTCTGGTGATGATGCTGATACTGGGGTTAGACGATTGTGGGATGAGAAGAGAAAGGTAAATCTTTCTATTGGTCACTTGTTAATTTGTTGGTTTCAAAATAGAATAACCCAAGAGATGAATTGTGTTATATCAATATCTGTATTGATATACATGTGTTTGGTATTGTTAGAAAGGTTGCAGGAAGGAAAGGGACAGCATCTAGTCGTTCGGAAGGCCCCAAAAACCAGATCCCGTGTACACCTTGGCATGCACGTAAAAGAAGCATTGGCAGTTGGAATTGCTGCCCGGGCTAAATATTTAGAAGCCAAGTTGGTAGAGTGCCATGGCAAGGAAATAAATTGACCAATGGAGATAAACAAGACGAGGCCATTGAAATATTTTGAGAAATACCTACAATTTATTATGGATACCTTTTATGTTTACAGCGCTTACCACGAGGAACAATTTTCAACTATGTACTTAGTGTTGAGGGTCCACTTGGTGCTCCAACATTCCTGAGAATATGGCATGATAATACTGGTATTGGTAAATCAAGATCATGGTACTTAGATCAGGTTCAACTAACAGATTTACAAACAGGAGAAAAGTAAGTTGCACACAATGCATGGTATTCCATCTTTTTATAGAAAGCCTGATACCAATTTTCTTTGATTTAGAGCGTTCACACAGTAGTTGTGTTATTCTTTTTGAAACCATTTGTGCTGTTTTTTTGTGGTGGGTATTATCTCAAGTATCATCGTATGTGTTGGCATTTGTCCCAGTTTGATTGTCCGTACCATTTCCTTAGTGGAACGTTTGGGTGGTTTCTTATATCGCATTGCAGGATTTACCTATAGGCTTTAAAATCTGGGGTGGGGGGGGAGAGGAGGGGCTACCAAGGTGTATAATATTTTTGACACTGTCATAAGTCTGTCCAACATATTGTAATCTTAAACATCCGTCATAATCCTCGACTTTCATCATCCTCTAGTCGTGAGGGTAGAGGATTGGGAGGGGCATCATAAGTGAAATATCCTGGGGCTTCTCTTCATCTAAATGCGGCACTGTTTATATGGCATAACACTAAACATATATAATTATTATGAACCAATTACATACTTTTTTTATCCAAGTTTAGAGACCACATCAGACCATTTGTCTAATCAGTGCGATCATGTAATAATTTGACTGATAAAACGGAATTTAAATAGGTTTCATTATCCCGCAATAGGAAATGTAATAAATGTTTTATCATACTTCTAGATTTTTCTTCCTGTGTGATCGCTGGTTGGCTGTAGAAGAAGACGATGGCATGGTAGACAGGATTATACCAGTTGCAGGAATCAATGATCTGATCGCCTTCAAACAACTCTTCTCGTCTTCAGCACGTAAGAAGCTGGCTAATGAGCATCTATGGGTTTCCGTATTTTCTCGTCCAACTCGAAGTAATTTTACTCGAGTCCAGCGTATATCTTGCTGTATGGCTTTATTATTTCTAACTATGATCACCAACTGCATGTTCTTTAAGGCTGAAGATAATGTTCAACACGTCACAGCGTTGACATTAGGACCGTTCCAGTTTACCTTACAACAAGTCTATATCAGTGTGGTCAGCACCTTAATAGTTTTCCCGGTCAGTTTTATCTTGGTTACCTTTTTCCGGAGATGTCGACCAAAAAAGAACACCATTATGCAAAATCACCAGCAAGTTAAACGCAACAAATTTAAGTGGAAGAACATCAACAATCAATCTGCTGTTTGGGGAGCACAAGCCAAAAGATCAAGACTGGCCAAACTTAAAGATAGTCTCAACAATATTCTCAGCTTCCATCAGAAATCGAAATACGAGACAGACACAGCAACGTTGAGATCAGCGACACCTACCGAGAGAAAAAAGAAACGGAAGAAGGAACCCTTTACCTTACCACATTGGTGTTTGTACATCGGATGGGTTTGTAAGTAAAATTATAATATATAACAATGTGATCATTAATAAACTAGCATTTATATTGAATTATGATTTAAAAAATAGGTTTCGTCTCTTTTTATATTCTGCATTTTAGTTTATTCTGAAAAGTTTTATAATTGTTTTGTGTTCTTACTAATATACGGTAAACGTCCAATGAAGGCGTATTTGTTCCAATCACACTCAGGCATAGTTCACTGGTCTATTTATACCCTTATTGACGTTTAGTGCATAACTAACGACGTCAGACGTTTAAACCGTAGTGTGGTAAATCAAAACCATTAAACACGAAACGAAATAATGGTTTGATTAAAACGGTATGACGAAGCACACTGAATATGCATATTGTTTTAAATACAAATATAACCTTTATTTTTGTATTTCAGTGTGCTTTTTTAGCGTTGCGGGTTCTGCTTTTTTCACCATCCTATACAGTATGGAATGGGGAAATGAAAAGTCCACCGATTGGTTAATAACTTTCTTGATGTCATTCTTCCAGTCAGTCATCATCATCCAACCAATCAAGGTAATATTTCCTTTCAATGTTTCTCAGATACCAAAATATATACGTTTAAGGGCTCAGTTCACGACAACTTAAATACAACTCATATCACAAATTTGATGCTCTTGGCGGCTCAGTAGGCGACGCGTTGGCTTGCTAACCCGAAGGACCCGGGTTCGGCGACGAAAGTTCCTTGGATTTTCCATCTCGGTCCCCCTTGTCAATGATCCACGTATAAGAACCCCTTAAGTCGGACTTCAATAGCTGCTCGGGCAAAACTTCCCTCGTAGCCCACTGTATGGAGTATGGGCGTCTTCATTGACCCGGTTAAACCCAATTTCTTTCATTCATTCAGACTTCTTATATCTGATTTGTATTTTAAATCTGTTTTAGGTATTATTGATAGTTGCGTTCTTGGCGTGCATCTTGAAGAAACCCGATTTAGATGAAGAAGATGTAGGCGAAGATTTTGATACAATAATTCATCCTGATGAAGAAACTGTAAAGAAGAAAGATGTCGACGTTCATGGTATGTGTCACTCTTGACCGCTTTATCTCAAACAACAAACAGCCGCGTTTGAGGCATTTTGAATCAATATTTTCAAAGTTGAATCTCTAAAAAGAATGGTTCGGCACCCTCTGCCGACGTTATTATGAAACCAACGCGACCTATAAGGGTTGTAAATCTTTGATGGACCTCTTTTTCATCTGTTTTGTTTTCTTAATTAAATATGAATAGTCAATTACAGTACATTTAAGTGTAGATTAAGCTTTGATTCGGAGACATTAACTTCCGCCTAGAGAGGCAATTAAATCATGATTTAATTCTAAACGTACGACATGTCTCATAGACACCTTTTTTTTATTCTTCGCGCAATGTGCTGGAGGCAGTTTTATGCAAAGGGAAGTAAAGATTAAGAAAGACCATTAAACATAATTTTCAAATATCTCTATATAAAATGCACAAATTGTTTTTTTTTAAGATTCAAATGTTTTAAGTGTTTTTATATAATTGAATAAACATTTATGGAATTGACTACCCCTTCATATAAAGGAACCGAAGTCTACATATTCAAAACCAGATTGAAAACTCATCTGTTCATATACAGCACTATGGATGAAAGGGAACAAAAATGCATAATTTTGCAAGCGCATTTGGAACTTCTAATACGAGTATTTATTGCTTTATATAGATTTGGATGTTATTAATATTTTGTAAAAATCTATGCTATGTGATAGTATCTATTTATTTTCAAAGCTTTGAAATGTATTTGTCTAATTGTTACCCCGCGCTGAATTAAGTTAAGGGGAGAGGGATATTGGAATGAGCCCCATGTCCGTCTGTCGGTACATGTGTTCTTTTCGGGGAATATCTCATGAACTGTTTAAGATAACTTTATAGAACTTTTTACACGCATCAGAGCTATTATAATAGTTGTGTAATTTTGCAATCCATTTTTCGGATTTAAACATTTTTGTGTTTCCATGGAAACAAATTTGTCTTAGTTTTTGGTTGTACTGTCACAGAATGTTGATGTGTCTAATTGTTTTCTTTGTAGCTTTGTTGATGCAGAGGAAGTTAGCTAACAGTGATTACAGACCACCTGATCTGTCAGAACTAGAAGAAACCAGACAACTGCGGCTTAATGAAATAAAGATGGAAGCTGTCGTTAAAGATATAGTTGTATATGCTTTCTTTGTTCTCATCATTTTCTTTTTATCATATCAACAAAGAGATTCGGAAGGATTCTACTTAGCTGATAATCTTAAAAACAGATTTGCGACAGGCTTCGACAAGGTAATATTCTTGTTCCATTTTAACCAGTATTGTCATAAAGCGTTGTGTGATTTTTACCCCTAATGCGATAAAGCTTCGCGCCATGTTTACCCTCATTGCCATAAAGCATCGTGTTCGTGGCATTTTACTCTTATTGCGATAAAGCATCATGCCATATTTGCCCTTACTGCGATAAAGCATCGGGGCATACCCTTATTGCGACAAGTATCGTAACATAGATACTAAAATCTAAACAAATCCATTTTTTGCGAGAGTAAGCGTTGACGGGCTTTTTCATCTATCCTTTAACTAACTCGGGGCAACACAACCCCCCCCCCCCCCCCAAATGAGCAATATGAAACCATTGTCATTCAAATGTGATGAAAGTTCATATTAATGGAATATTCACAATGACAACCCACAAAATCGCGCTGTTTTCAAACAATTATTTCTGTATATGGCTGGAATTTTGGAAAAATTTAGAAGGCTCGTCATTTTGAAATCCTAGACAATCCAGGAGCCTTTCAATAAAGCTAAAAATCAGAGCAATGAACGTAACAAAGTTTTAATTTAAATAAATATACCTTTGACAAACTTTCTGGCTTGATTTATTTCAGATATCGACTGTTCAGAATTATTGGTCTTGGTTAGAGTCACAGTTTATGCCTAATTACTATGCAACCCAGTACTTTAATAATACTAATATTATTAACTGGCAGGATAGAAATTGTATATCAGATTTAGAAACCAGACGAGTGGGTGTGACCAGATTAAGACAGTTGCGGATCAAAGAAGGTATGTTTGACTTTTGATTTATATTTACTTAAAGCTAGAAAACTGAAGTTAAGACTAAAATTGAAAAAAAAATGGTGGTGGTCTCGCAGACTTCATAGATGATTATAATTTAAAGGGACCATCCCGATTTTAACAGAGTCTCAGAAATAAAAGTCAGTGTACGTATGAAATATGAGTGCCAAAATATAGAGGAATGATGTATTTACCTTGTCTCAAAAGTACAGCTCAAAATATTGAGTCGTTTGGACGTGAACGTCAAAACCGCTTATCCGGACACGTAACCGTTTTAAGATTTCGGATCAATTTTTTCGTTCTTTTAGAGGTCTATACAGCGCATGACCTACGTGCTGTGCTTGATAAACTAGGGTAAATTTCACCTACACTTGATTTTTATAAAATAAAAGTCTGGTTTTATCAGACACCGTATAATACAACGTGGGACACCGGTCTCCATTTTAAGATGAAGACTGACGGGTTTAAGTTGTTTGAAAACGTATCACGTATATTGAGTTAGTTACTCGGCCCTACGGTAACACAAAATTAAGCAGTTCTATTCTCCAAGATATAATCGAGATTGACCCTCTAACCAGAAATATAATACAGCTAGTCCCATTTGTTATGCATGCCAGAACACATTTTACTTTAGTTTTGTACCAGCCCATCTGTAATAAAAAGCGTTTCTGCATTTAAGCTGTTTGCGATGGTCACGCAGACAACCACGAGGTTAGGAAGGCGATCGTGTTCCTGGTCATGGGTTAGACCACTCGAGGCCATAATATCGCACCCCACCCCACCCGCACAGCTGCCACTGGTATATGTTCTATCTAGTTTGTTTCCGTGAACATCAATTAAATTTACGTTCAGAAATACACTTCATTTTTCCATTTCAGATTCTTGTGAAATCCGGGGCATTTTTAAGGGTTATATCAACCACTGTCGTAGTCCGTATGGTTGGGTTGACGATGATACAAAAGATTACTTTACCAAATGGATGAAGCCCGTTGGTATAAATGTTAGTTTACTGGAGGACGAAAAGAATCCATGGGTGTATCAGAATTCGTTACAACTAAAAAATGCTCCATATGTGGCTACCATTGCCAGTTACAAAGGTGGTGGTTACGTAGCTCTTACCAAACGCCAACTATGTCGTACACGTAAGGTTATTGAAGATATAAAACACAACGACTGGTTAGATACAAAAACGAGAGCGGTATTTTTGGAATTCACATTATACAATCCGAATTCCAACCTCTTCGCGTCTGTGGTGATGGTCGCTGAATTTATGGCAGTTGGTGGCGTCACTACAAGAACAGAATTCAAGGTTAGCGTTTTATAATTACTGTTACTTTACAACCAAAACATTTTTACCCGCGTCATTGCAATCCTAACCCTTTGTACCTGTGCCTTACTGCCATGCTAACCCTAACCCCATTCATCTGTGCCATTGCAACCTTAACATGTTTTTACTGGGCCATTGCAACCATAACCTGTGTTTACTGAGCCATTGCAACCCTAATCTGTTTTTACTGAGCCATTGCAATCCTAACCTATTATTACTGAGCCATTGCACCTCTGATCTGTGTTTACTGAGCCATTGCAACCCTAACCCTTTTTCCTGAGCTATTGCAACCATAACCATTCTTACCTATGTGCCAAACCCTTTTTACTGAGGCATTACAACCCTTACCTTTTTAACCTGTGTCATTGCAACCCTAATCATTTTAGCCGAGCCATTATTACCCGTGCTATTAATACCATGCACTGTGTTAGTTATGTTTACCTGCCAAACATTAGTGGTGTCAAATGTTTCAGAGTAAATTGTTTCGTGCACAACAAAGGGCTACTTACAGATATGAAATAGTAATAATAATTCTTTATGGCGGTTTCTAAAAATACTTTATGGCAGTTTCTATTGCGCTTTATACGTTTGAACAAATTCATTTACTACTGATTAGAATAAGCCTTGTTGAAAAGATGGGTTATAAGCCGAGATTTCCGTAGGTTGGTCTCAAAATGACTGTTGCATTGAGTTAACGTGATTTCAAACACCATACATTATGTAAGATTTAGATAAAGAACTAGCCATTATTGCTATAATAGTTCGAAAGTAGATGATGTAAAATGAATAATTTGAAATTTCATTCAAATTACTCTATTGCAAGCGAAGATATTAGCCTTTGAAGGTTTGACAGGCGTGTGCAAAAATTTCAACCACCGTACTGGTTGATCGAAGCTAAGTCTCGGTCCTCCATATTTGATTAAATCAAAGTATCGCTGAACCATTCTAATCTATTTAATATTGGAGAAATCTGATGCCATCGAGAGTTGATTAAGGCCTGGATCAGTTAATTAATGTCTAATTAATACTTTAGAAAACATTTCAGGCCTAAAGAAAGACCTGCAATAGGCAGATTTAATTCTTGCATAATGCATGTTTAAATAATAGATTCGTACTTTCTTGTTTTCAGGTGTTCCGTTTGTTAAGTTATATCGGAGCGTGGGGAGTGGTTATAGTTCTATTTGAAGTCATCTATGCTTGTTTTACATTCTACTTCTTTATTCAATGTATCAAAAAACTAAAGAAAGAGAAAATGAAATATTTTAAAAGATTCTGGAATCTGCTTGAGTTTATCCTGTTGGTTTTCGCTGTAACAGTTATTGCCATGTACGCCTTTAAACATATTTTAACCAATCTAGCTATCAATGCTCTACATGACCGTGAATCTGGTAAGTATACACAATTTGAATTTTAGATACAGACTATTTAGACTAAAATGCCTATATGTATAGTAGTTACGTATAATGGCTTAGCTATAGTTACACAATGCACACCAAACATACTTAGATGTAAACTGTTAAACAAAAACTAGTGTTTTCCTCGAAAGGGTGGTGACATTACACGGTTTTAGAAGTCCTACTTTCACTTTGAAAGGCAGACACACCAAACGGTCATTACTATTGTTTTCATGTCTACAACTTGGAATTGTGCGGCTGGTTTATTCTGAGGTTATTATTTTAACTCTATTTCAGATGGTTTTGTTAATTTCCAGTCCGTCGCTCTATATGATGAAACGTATGGTTATATGATGAGTGTTGTCGTGTTTCTAGCCACTATACAATTCCTGAAACTTCTACAATTTAACCAGAGAATGAGTATGTTGGGAGACACAATCAAACTCGCCACAAAAGATCTTAAAGTTTTCTCCATCGCTTTTCTTATATATTTCTTTACTTTTACGTTCACTGCGTATTTGCTGTTTGGTCAAGCCATGGTTTCGTATAATTCTTTAATTGGCGCCGCGGAGTCCATGTTTGCTTTTGCCTTGGGTAGTTTTGATTTCGAAGGAATGGCGGATGCGCAAAGAATCATCGGTCCTATCTTTTTCTTCATGTTTATTGGTGTAATATATATTGGGATGATGAGCATCTTCCTCACCATCATTGGCGATGCGTTCACCAGAGTTAAAGAGGATGTTACACTCCGATCGAATGAGTACGAAATTGTTGATTTCGTGTGGAAGCGCTTCAAGGCCCTGCTGGGATTGACTTAGTTGCTATGTATTTAAATTGTGATTGCTCTTTAAGAACAGAGTCGAACAGTGTGATAATTTGCGAGCAATCAATTTGGAAATCAAGTGGGAAAAAAGAAGAGACCAATTTCGTTATATCAAGAACTAATTTACTTGTATATGCAGAACTTTGTATAGAATAATTGTAAACAAGGCACAATTTTATGCAATAAACGTGTAATTACTGTTTTTCACTGAGGATTCTTTTGTCTTTATTAAGGAGTAACAAACAGTAATTGTATTCCATAGAATTGTGTCCTGTGTATTTGCAGTTAGTCACTAAATGCCACTGAAATAAGCAATAATTTTGTTTGAGTTAAATTACATTATTGAACGTGTATGTGTATAGGTCTTTGTAACCAATATTATCCTCTTTATATTGTAAGAACATTCACAATAACATAATATGTATAGTTTAAGTTTTTATCATTTAAATAAGAATAAACATAGAACATAGCAAAGTCCCTGGAGAATAAATGTTTATATTGCAGGCTATATATTTAAATCTATAGTAATAACCCCAGCACTTTTCTAATTGTTAATGACAAACGTGTTTTACCACGTAAAGCCAAATTCACTTAAATATATTGAATTGTTGTACATTACTGAATGTGTGTGTGGTGAGACAGCTCTAGGAAGAAACGCACTGAAAAGACCGGACTATATTGGTAAGACTTTGATACTTTGTTCATTACATATATGGAAGTACATTTACTATCTGAACTTTAAGGGTCCGCTTCGAATTTCAAAAATCCGTCGAATGTCTTTGATTTGTGTAAAATTCCAGAAATGACGTCCAATTCGTCAAGAGTATTTCTATAGCTCGAGAAATACAGAACTATAAACATAAAAAAATCCCTCGTCCAATTCGGTAATAGTATTTCTAGGAGCTGGAGAAACACAGGGCTAAGGACTATAACTATTCAAATGATCGCTGTTGGCCTTTAAAAATATGTGTATGCCACGGATCTAGTAGTTAAAACAAGCTTATGCAAGCAAGATTTTGTTTGTCTTTGCCCTTTCTACGCCGTCCAATATTTTTTGTAGATTTTTAACTTAATTACCCGAGTGTCTCATTTACATGTAATAATATGGATATTTTTTTCCCGTTTTTAATATATTGTTGTCAAGTTTGTTAATTTGTTTTCAATATTCAAATATTTTGCGAAACTCAAAATATTTAGATTGTACTGTGATAATGTCAAACATATTTAAAACCGAGAAATTTAGCCGGACCTGTATTTTATCTGACTGTTGAATTTATGTTATAATAACTTATATTATCTAATGAGTGGTTAAGTAATAAATATTCTGCCAATAAATTTCTTCTTATTACGAGTACGTATCCAGGGCCTGATTTAGATGACATTAGATCCAAAGCTATGGGAAGCTATGGAGACCCGACATGGCAAGTGTTAAACCTGAGCTATGGGACGTTAGCGACCCGACACGGCAATTGTCAAACAGAGAAAAGGACTATTGAATGTTAACTAAGGAGAGTTGTTTTATTTTGGGGGACTGGGTGATCTAATGATATAAAGCATGCACCTGAGATCATAAGGTCTGTCATTAGGTCATGTGCCATGGTTTAGAGCCCACAGGTGGGTTTTCTCTGCCCCCCTCCCAGAACTTCCTTCCTCAGCTTAAAAAACCTCTTGGCACACGCTATGCTAGTCCCGAAATGTCGAGTGAACGTTAAACATTGGGGGTAGTGTCGATGTCCACGCATTCCCTGCATCGCATTTCACGCATATCCATGGAAATGAAACTAAAATATATGTTAGTCTCACAGTCCACAGTGAACGAGGTATTTATTGACGAGTCGTTAAACCCCATCCCACTCGCTTCAAACGGCGAAGCCTTACACTGCATCGCGTTTAGCCTATATGATGCAAGTAATAAACACGAAACTTTACAATTATAAACAACTAAATTTTATGCTTCGTCCCTCACATGTGAGAGTTGTCAACTGTTTATTTCTAGAAATATCTGGATGCAAATTTTATCATTTTATTAAATAATATTAAACATTGATAAATATTTATCCATAACAATAACAGATTTCTCATCATACACATTTCTTATAGAAACAGCGTTTAATTGTCTATTTTCAAAGCACCCTTAGCTCTCGCTATGGCATCTGCCTTAGGATTCACCTTCAAGGCGTCTTTAGCTGCACGCATACCATCTTCTTTTGACTGAAGCCTAATGCCTGGATCTTCTGAAAACAGGGGAAGTAATCGAGAAAAGTCCGGGAAATAAAAGTTGACAATATCGTCTTCTTGAGCATCAGTAAAGCCATTCACAAATTTGATATCTGGTCCTGGATAGTTAACACCAGTATTCCATGGTGTCACGATATTTCTATTTCTGATATTGAAATCGAGGTTACGTAAAGTGTCAGATGCGTTGGAATCTTGTACGTCATCGTCTGTTGCATAAGAACCTGGATAAGAAAAAAGAATAGCGGAAACAAGATAACACAACTAGCCAGTTAAAATTGTTGATTTAGCATATAAAGGTTAAATCTCCGACTGGTTGTCCGAATAAAAAATTCTTTCTGGAAGTACGCCATACAGTCAATATTCTAGGCCACAATTTATATTGAGACAACATATCAAAATTGTTATGGAAGTACAGACTATTAGTAAAATAGTCATAACAAACAAACCATAATCCTTATTAAAGTCATGATTAGTTTGCCGTGTCCAAATCCTAGACTAAATTATCTACTTTCCCCAAGAAATTAAATGAAACATAGAATATTGCAAACCAAACCGGAAGTAACACATTGTAGCATTGCTACACACTGATCAGCAGTGAATATTCGCTAGCCGCTACAATCACTGATGAGGATGACATCAACGCGACTTAATGAGTCTCAAATATTAACTTTTTCCACCGACAAATTACATTCTAAAACATTTTTATTGATGTATTAGAAAAATAAATAAAGACGTATTTATAGGTAAAAATTATTTATAGGTATTAAAACGTCTTATGTAAACAATGCACGCGCCATTCAGCCAATGATTGACGCCACGTGCTGTGACGGCAGTCATCTTTTACAGAGATATTAGAAGACTCGTAATTCTCTGTGAAACAGATTTTGGAGAAAAAAAAATCGTATTGGAGGTCATTTCTTAACTAACATATGGTTCAATTTTAATATCCATAATTCGCTTGCGCGTACCTCGTGGGTTTTCTCCGGGTTCTCCGGTTTCCTCCCACTGCTAAAGACCCCTACGCGCAAGCGAATTATTGAAATAAAATTAAACCATATGTTAGTCCCGAAATGACCTAGTTTGTGTCGAGTGGACGTTAAACCCCATTTCTCTCTCTCTCTCGCTTGCGCGTAGTGGTCTTTAGCAGTGTCACGTACAACCGGGGAATCGAAACCACGCCAGTTGACTCAATGACAGACTTTATGATATTTAAAAGGAATAGTTTGTTTTACATTAATCCTAATTGCTACATTTTAACGATATAAATAATACCTGGCCTACCTGATGAATACTTCTTTCTGACGTTTTTAAAGAACCTAGCAACATCCATTATTAACCAAGTTTTAAATCTTGTAGTTATAAACGAGACCAATTCATATTGATTCGCCTGTTCTGATAGTTTAGATCTCACTACAGCGAATGAATCGTTCATGATCGTCACAAACATGTTGAGTAGAATGAAGACGATGAAGAGAACGTAGGAAAAGAAAAACATTGGCCCCAATATCCTGAAATATAAATATATAGCAGTAGATGTGTAGAACCTCATTGTTTTGTGTGTCGTCCTTGTATTTATCGAATAAATGAGTCAAAATCGAAGGGTTTATGATAAAGCAACATACTGGTACAATAATGTTTGTATTCATGTATTCCCCAATTACATAAAACAAGGGTCAGTGTGCAGGACCACCGAGAGAATTTTTACATAACCGATAATTACTTTAATAAAAAAACCATTAGATCGGTTGATTCGGAGAGGTAGGACGTTATACCATTTTATAAATGAATACACCTCTCAACAATGTTTCCAAAAATATGGCGGTGTCGTATACGAGGTGTGGTATGCCGGCGTATTCTAAAACACCTAACAACAGTTTTTGTTTATTTGTGAAGTTAAAATCCAACATAGAACTTGCATAAACACCAGCGCAGTACTCAATGAACCGTCGTGGCTCCCGATATGACCAATATTGTTGTAAAGGATACAGATTACTAACCTGTTTACAGAAGACAAAGCTTCATATTCATAGTTTCCTAAAGCAAACGACAGCAAGCTTTCAAATGTTGTTAAAACTGATCTGTAAGACTCTATGTTGGGACCAAAGGTCAAGTAGCTGAAGGCCATGAAAGCTATGATCCAGATGGCAAAACAAAATGAGAAGGCTGACAGTTCTTTAGCGGCCGCCATTATAGTCAGGCCCAACATGGACATACGGCGGTTAAATCGGAAGATGTGTAGTAATTTTATCACAGAAGCAAAAATGACAAAAGCTACCAAGATACTGAACAATTCATCCCATAATGCCATACGTTGAAAATTGTAAAACGCATCTGAAAGACGAAGAAATAAAATATATTAGAGTGCACTGAGTTTACTCCATAAAAATACCCTCCCCCATCCCGCATATATAGATACAGAATTCTTGTTTAAATGCCAAAGAAGACAAATTACCCCGAACCCCATATAAGCATTTACAAATATATCATATAATCATTTGACGTCTATTAATATTAGTAAATAGTGTTAAATATATCCCATCGTCGGCTAAATGAGACTTCTGTGTTGTCCAAGTAATTCAATTGGTGTAATTGTGAAACAATTAAAAAAGAATATCACAAACTAATTTTGGTCATTGATGGCATTTCAATCCTAATTTAGTTAGAAATATGTCATTAAACATCGTGAATACTTTAATGTTGACGAAATGGCAACGCATCTGTTTTATGTTCATAAAAATCGTTTACCTCTTAATCTCTTGACTGTATCTGATGCCTTGGTTGTTAAAAGATGGCGACCAACATACATCACGACACACGTTATAGACATCAACAAATTTATAAATTCAATACCATTCCAAAACTCCTTAAAAAAGCTCCTCCTTTCTTTCCTGATTCGTTTAAGCAGACGAACAGCAAAATATAAAATAAAAACCAATGCCAGTGCATCACAAACAGCAACCACGACGCCATAACCTCCCAGATAGGAGAACAGTCTAAAAGTCTTCACAACAATCTCACCAACAAATGTTCCGGTAGGTGGCACCTCTAACGCTACAGTTGCCATAGTGAAGAGATTGACGTTTGGATTATAAAGAGTAAACTCAACAAAAACAGATCTGGTATATTTATCCAACCAATTGTCTTTTTCTAAACCGTCTACAATTTTATGAACTCTCCTAGCGTCCCCGATTAAGTCTGCTATATACCCACCACTGGGATAAACACCTATCTTTCCAGCATGAGGAGCTCCTTTTGTTTCTGAGTCCGTCCGGTATTTCCAGGGATAATTTACTAAACCATCTACCGATTCGTTGACCCCTACAGCTTTCCAACCTTCTCTGTAAGCTTTCAGATCTTGTGTGGACCAGCCCCATTCCCCGTTGCATAAGATTCTACTTTTCCGTAGTTGAAATGGTAGCTTACATTTACCTGAAATAAAAATTGTTCAAATGAAATGGGTTTAACGTTCTACTTTTCAGCACAGACTGGGCTAATGAAGACTGGCATACGCATACAATGTGCTGTGGGGGAAATTGTGCCCAGACAGCGACACTACTGTCTACTCTTATTTCGTACCATCCGAACGACTGACATAGGGACACCACTCCAGAAAATCTCAAAGAACTTTCCCAGCCAACACACTTGGAGCGAACCCGTGACCTTCTGGTTAGCGAACCAGTGTCTTACTCACTGGACCACAGACGCTCCCGTTGGAGTAGTCACATATAACATACAAAGATTGCAGCCCGAGGAAACTAAAGTCACATAAACATAAAAGGCAATATTAATAAAACCTTTATCAGGAATAGCTTAGCTTGTACAAAGAAAACACGCTAGATAATTGACATATATATTTGTTATTCATAGAAACCAATGTAATGGCCTTAAATGAGGTTAGAATTTGTCCATTGGGATAATGTTCTGACCAAAATTCCTATCGATAAAAGTACTTTTGATAGTGTACACTATATTTAACTTTAATTCTGGAATGTTAGGTCTTTGAAATTAATACTGTACATAAAATACATACGTTTTTCAATTCTATGTTGGCGTAATCGTACAGGTCCTACCCTATAGGCAGCCATATTGGATATCATCCTCTTATCGCCAGAAAATGTAATTGGGTCACCATTAAATGTATTCGATATATACAGAGTTGGTATTAGTTCTGCTCGTGTCCATTTCCAAAAATCTGTCATGGTTCTTGCCTAATTGTAAAACATAAGGAATATAATTATTAAGCAGTTTTATTTTCCAAGATATCATCGAGATTGGCCCTTTAAGCGATTGACGCCCATTTATAACTGCTAGTCATTCCGGACTAATATTTGATATCATATGCCAGTTTCTGCTGTATTTATTGGCGCAAACCCACTTGTTTGAAAAGTAGAACTTTAATCCTTTGTAGGATGGGTGAGGTTGAGTTGAACTTATGTTAAATAGATTAATATAATAACGCAGCAATAATAGTGCCAAAACTATTCAAAGGGCAATGATTTATGTTATTTGATAAAATTCAGATATCAATATTTGGTGTACAAGAAATTAAACATAATCACCTTAAATATTGTTCCACGAGAATTTATCTGCCAGAGAACGCTTTCTTTAGCTTGATATGACCTGACGTCTCTGTTATGGACAGACACCATGACCAATAATATTAGATAAAACACGTAGAATACTATCTCTCTTATCACACCAAACATTCTAATTTCTTTAAGACGTCTCTCTCTAGCTAGCACCAGACTCTCACTATTTAACATTGGTGCTGGAAGTCTCGGCCTGGTAACTAAAATAAGAAAACGTCATCCACGACTTGTTTGCTTATGGTCGTAGCATTATAGATAATGACATTAACTAATAATAGCATTAACAAATAATAACATTACAAATAATAATATTAACTAATAATGACATTAACTAATAATGACATTAACTAAAATAATATTAACAAATAATTACATTAATAAATAATTACATTAACAAATAATAACATTGACTAATAATAACATAATAAATAATAACATTATTTAAAGAAGCTAAATCGCTAATATTTTGGACCTAGAAATTGACACAAATGGGTCGTAACGCATAGAATAATGCAATGGGAATATATCTAAACTGATTTACATTCAATCGTTTCCATTTTTACTCTAATTTCAAATCAGTTACGTTCGGCGAAATATGTCAGAAGTCTCAATCGAATAAAAATTTCAGGCGATACGTTTCAAGTCAGTAGCTTGAAGCGTATATATGGTATTAGTGTCAGTGGCCTGTGGCACGAAGTAACAGTATATTGTCGCATACATAATATATTATGTCAACGCTTGGGCGATATAATATATTATGTCAACGCTTGGAACTAGGATGGAGGTGACTAGGCATGAACAAAAAACAAGATGGCACCGATAACAATTGTAAAAGATTATATTGTTAATATTAGAAAATAGTAGGCCTATAATCAACCGTCACGTGTGAAATTAAAATTATATAAACCATTTCTGGGATACGTGTGTAAACTTTCTTTCAGCTTTCAGATAGGAACAGCTCGAGCCTAACCCTAACCCTAACCCTAACCCTGCCCTAGCGTCAACACAATATATTATGTCGCCCAAGCGTTGACATAATATATTATGTATGCGACAATATACTGTTACTTCGTGCCACAAGCCACTGACACTAATACCATATATACGCTTCAAGCTACTGACTTGAAACGTGCAGGGTGAAAATTTCTAGTCTACATTGTATTTATTGCGCATACTCTCCCGATATGAATATGCCGTCACCGTTTTTAGATGACTTTTTGAATGTCTAGCCTCCTTCTTCGAGTCCCTTGTTAGAATAGGCCTGAATCATATTATGGTACATGATTCGTGTACCAATGGTAAAATGTTTATTTTGTCTTAAATATTGGATATCAGAAGCCCATCTTTTCCCGGTAAGATCACAACATCAACGTTGATTTAAATTGACAAATAATTCGTGTTTTCAATGTCGAGGATTTTAGATGATATTGAGTTAGAGACTTAGCTACTTTAATAACACAAGTAATAACATTAACGAATAATATAACAAACCAGAACATTGACATTTATAACACTGACAAATAATAACATTAACCAATAATAACATTAACAAATAATAACAACGACAAATAATAACATAACGCAATAACATAATAACTCATAACAATAATAAATAATAATAACATTAACAATTAATAACAAGCTAATAATTGAGTTGAAAGTATCACAGCAACCCAAATATATAGTTAAAACAGAAAATATTGAAGCATTTCAAATTTGGTTAAAGTGTAAGCTATGAGAAGAGATTTACCCGCTGTTGGTGCCTTTTCTGTAATTTCTTCATCTGTAAGTGGTTTGATAAAATCTTTATCATCTATTACATCATCTAATTCCGGTTTCTTAAACAACCAGGCAACGATAGCAGCAAGAACCAATATCTACACAAGGAAGGGAACAATTTACATGAGTAAATTTAACAAGAGCATCGGCACCGCTGCAATATACGTGTACATTCCTGGGGGTAGGGGCATGCACCAAAATAAATAATTGCTGTTTTACGGTATAAGGAATAAATATGCAAAGTTCCAAGATAATTCATTCAGAATTCCAGCTTATAGACAAAAACACAAAAATTGGGCGTGGCTTTGCCCCTGGGTGTTTGACATGGACCAATATAAATAGGTACAACCCTATGATGCAAGTGTGTTAATAATTGCAACCTGTAGATTATTTATAGACAAAATATTAACAAAAAATGGGTGTGGCACCGCCGCAGTGGGGCGTATCATGCACCAAAATCAATACGGAATAAGCATACCAAGTTCCAAGAAAATTCATTCAGAATTGTGGCCTTCAGATGCTAAAAACACAAAAAAATGAACGTGGCTCGGACCCTGGGGGTCAGGCATGTACCAAAATCAATAGTTGCCATCCTTAGGCAATAAGGAATACATATGAATGTGGACTTAAAAAATAAGTGAGCTAGCGCCGTCCTTGGGATATTTTGGGTATAGGCAGAGTATAATGTACGCCCCGCATCCTTAACACACGTCAATCTGTTTTTCAATTTAAGTCACTTATTTTAGTAAAGTATTTTTATATTTACCTTCATTGGTTGAATTAATGTCACAGACTCTCCTATTGACAGTAACATAGACGACAACCAACCAATGGATTTAGTTTTACCCCATTCCATGCTGTACGTAAAAGTAATGAACGCAGAAACACCAGAAGTTAAAAAGACGAGTATCCACGCAATATAAGCTCCCCAAAATGGTAACATCTTTTTCTGCTTTTGTTTCTTTTTCCTTTTTGACTTCTTCTCTGAATTATCCTCACTTCTGCTTTCGCACCTTGTTTCAGCTCGCGAGTTACTTCTGCTTTCACATCTTGGATACACTGGACTAGGACCTCGTCTATTCTGAACATCTCGGGGTTCCCAGAAATCGTCCATACTTGCAGATGTTGTGGGTCTAAGTTCTTCTGAGTTCAGGATGTCGTCCAATTCTCGTATTTCGGCTACCTGTTCTTCACTTTTTTGCTTATCTTTATCCTCATTCAATGGTGGAATAACTTTCGGTAAGTTTGAGGATTTTTGACTGGGTTTTATGAATGCGTTATCTATTTTCTTGTGTCGTGGTCGACTTCGACGAAACAATTGATCAATGATTATATTAGCGGGAAGGACGACAAAACTACAAATAAAACTAATGTAGAACTCATGAGCCGAAAACACAAACGGTCCTAGTTTGAATGATAATTTATTGTCCATATTTTCGTCCACTTTGTAAAACATGGCGTCCGCCATCATGGTTGTAAAAACCAAAGACAAAATACAAGCTACTCTCTGAACTCGTGTGAAATGACTTCTTGATGGTCTGGCAAATATTGAAATCCATAGATGAGAATCAGTGAAGTTTTTCTTCGTCTCGGAAAAAAACAAGTGATTAAAATTAGTGACGTCACTATTTCCCGCCACTGGGAGTATCCTGTCAATCATACCGTCATCTTCTTCAACAGCCAACCAGCGATTGCATAGGAAGAAATAACTGAAATGATTAATCGATATAATTCTTACACCAGTACAAAGTAAATGGATAAATACGAAATATCGATGCACTTAAAAATACATCGGGATATTTCAAGCCCGTTTCTGGGGTTTATTAATGTTCACTCGATACAAACGAGGTCATTTCGGGGCTTACATAATATGGTTCTATTTCATCTCAATAAATCGCTTGCGTATAGAGGTCTTTAAGCAGTGGGAGGAAACCGGGGGATCCCGAGAAAACCCACGAGGTTGGACAAGCGACCCTACTCCTTGCCACGTACATGAAGGATCGAAACCACGCCACTTGACCCAATGGTAGGGCTAATGAAATCGAGCGTACGACATGCAGAGTGCTATGAGGGACAGTTTGTACTGACTGTGGCACTGCGTCCCAGCACCTCGATGTTCCGTTCCATCTGAACGACTGGGCGTTTTGGCTTGCCAGTTCCTCCCATCTCAATCAGTTGAACACAATTCTTTTAAAGCTAGGGACAAATGACGTATCTGTAAATGGAATTAGTTACTGTACAAAGGGCACAATTACCACAATAGATTTATATGTCAACACAATTTGAACGGTTTATGAGATATTCCTTGGAAACGCTAAATTATGTTTCAATAATATTTTATTACCTTTGATTTGTCTGTAGATCTGTAACGATTATTTTACTTAAATACCATCCTTGATGTTTATTTTTACCTGAGTTGTCGTGCCATACTCGTAAATATGATAGTGGCCCTAAACATTCCGATGTTCCCATTATATACTGATTAACACTTGCTCGATTGAAAACCTGTAAAATTCAATTGTTACTGCCATGAAAATCTGTAAACATTCAATTTTTACTGTCACGGAAACCTATAAAATTCCATTGAATTTGTCATGAAAACATGCAAAATTTAATTGTTATTGTACTGTCATGGAAACATATAGATTAACTTGTTGCTATACTGCCATGAAAACATGAGGATTAAATTGTTGCTATACGGTATTCAAAAATTACCCCCCCCCCTCCAGCATTGTACACGTGTCCATGAAAACTACAACCATGTTGGTCTCAAAATATCCGAAGAATTGTTTGGTCGAGTTGAAACGGTAAAATCCATTCCTTTAGCTGCCTCTAAATTACACATTACAAAATATGTTTTGGGTTTCTTTTTAAATTCCGTTATAATAAGTCTAACATTGTTTTTCACTTTCTGGAAGGGTATTCCAGAGTCGCGGTCCTAACACACTGAAAGATCTATCTGCAAATGTTTTATATTTAGTTTTGGGTATTGATAACATGTTTTGTGGTGACGATCATATAGTGTATGATAAAGTTTGTAACAGTAATAATTCAGAAAGATAGGCAGGGGCAAGGTTGTGGAGACACTTATACACCAGTACTATTAGCTTGAATCGGCATCGGACTTCAATTGGTAATATATGAAGTTCTTTCAGAGCAACAGTAGAGCTATGGTCATACGTAACTAACACCAAGTATTCATTTTACAGTAAAATTATGAATTTATGGGGTGTTGCTGCTGGAAGATCACAACGCAGATTAGTTCCATAATCCATATTGTTGAAAACTAAAGAGCTGTCAATTTGAAGAGATAATTCTCGCGAAAAAATCGGTCTTAATTTACGTAAGTTGAACATCGCAGCAGAACGAGTTTTCTGGATAATATGATGTTTAAGGTTTACATTTTCGTGCAAATCCATTACCAGGGATTTAACACGCAATACGAGATTTTGCATCAGGACCCCCGGCGTTAAAAGTTGCGATCATTGACGTAACAAACTAATTTTTGATCGTGTCGGATGCACGATGCTAGTGCACTGGGATATAGCAGGTAAAGTAGATCAGACCATTGATGCTACCTTGTGGCACTGAAAATTTACTTGTTTCACATTAGAAAGCCTTTACACAAAACTCCTGTTTTGTAAATATGATGGCATCCACTCACCTTTTTAGCCTTTTCATCAATAAGTTGCCGGACACCAGTATCTCCATCATCTCCAGATAGAACAAAACTGACCTTTGACCTCGTACCAGCCGAGCCCCTCATTCCAGTATGTACAGTAATCTGATAGAAGTATTTATCTCCTATGATATTATCAGCTAGCGGCGCCACTCCCCACTGTAACAAAATGTTTCGATTTTAATTTTTCATTTGTAACACGACACGGCTACATATGGTATTTGCGTTCAAACGATGTTCTTAATTAAAGAATGCGTTATAATGTCATCAGTGCTACCAAATATTAGCACATTTGTAACTCGACACGGATACATACGGTATTTGCTACCAAATATTAGCACATGGCGCCCATTATCTGAAAATAGCGCAGACACTTTGTCTGTGGCTATTAACTATTGGTCGTGTTTCCACTGCTTCCACTGGAGAAATTGCTCATTCTGATGGTGCAAGTGATGCTGCGGACATGCTTTCTAATTTAGCGTGGCATATCTATTTTTTAAATATGTAAATTGAATTATCCAATAAACATACATTCCTGTGAGATATTCTGATAGACAAGACACCTACCTTCTCAACATCTTGTCGATCTTTACGTCGTGCCCAGATAGTTCCCACAAAGTACAGGAATATAATTACACACAGTGTTATCAGAACTGCGTTATTGTCTGCTAGCTTGGCACCGAGGTTATTGAAGACAGTGTTAAAACTGATCTGATTGGGTGGGACAAAGATACCAGATCCAAATGATGTTAAATGAGTGCACATACATCGTGTAAAATTGACGTTTGATAGAGGGCTTACCTGAAAAAAAACATATATCATACTTGAACCTATAATTAATTATAGCGATAGATAGACAGAAATGGAATTTATTGCCAAGGGAATACCCATGAGGCTCGACAGGCGATCATTTACCTTGTCATGTGTAAGCTGGTAATCGAAAACACGCCACTTCACTTAATATTTGACCTAAACTATAATGAAAGCATACATGACATAGTATTTGCCACATGGGTCTGAATTTTCCCTTTAAGCACTAACAATAATGAACCCCAAATGTTATTAGCTTACTTGACATCCGTCTGTCAGCCATTCTTCGTTTTCTTTACTCCAGTATCTACAATCTGATGTAACTATTTTAAAAGTGTAGTTGGACATTATAATAACATCTTCCTCTTCGCCATTATAATCATAATAGTCACTGTAGTCATCAACTATACTAGACTGATTAGCTGTAAATATATAATAACCGAAGTTATCAACTATACTTGTCTAATTAGCTGTAAATATATAATAACTGTAGTCATCAAATATATTAAACTGATTAGCTGTAAATATATAATAACCGAAGTTATCAACTACACTTGACTGATTAGCTGTAAATATATATATATAATAAAAGTAGTCATCAACGAAACTAGACACATTAGTGTAAATATATAATCACTATCATCAACTATACTAGACTGATTGACTTATATATATATATTAATTACTGTAATCATCAACTACCCTAGACTATTTGGCTATATAACTAGTCATCAACATTAAATTGGTGGTTGTAAATATATAATAATAACTGTATCCATCAACTACAATAGACTGTAAATATATCATCACTACAGTCCTCAAATACACTAGACTGATAATATATAATAATAACTATTCACCAACTATACTAGACTGATTGACTGTAATGCAGTTATCAACTACACTAGACTGATTATCAACTACAGTAATATATAATAATAACTATAGTCATCCACTACAATAGACTGATCGGCTGTAAATATTTACAGTCATCAACTACACTAGGCTGTAAATATATAATAATAATTACAGTAATATATAATAATCACTACAGTTATCAACTACACTAGATTGATAAGCTGTAAATATATAATAATAACTACAGTCATCAACTACGCTGGACTGATGTAAATATATAAAAATAACTACATTAGACTGATTAGCTGTACATATATCGTCACTATAAACTATACTAGACTGATTAGCGGTAAATATATAATAGCAACTGTAGTCATCAACTACATTAGACTGATTGGCCGTAAATATATAATCCCTATAGTCACCAACTACATTAGACTGATTAGCTGTAAATATATAATAATAACTAGTCATCAACTACACTAGACTGATTGGCTGTAAATATATTATAATAACCGCAGTCATCCACTACACTAGACTGATTGCCTGTAAATATCTATTAACTACAGTCGTAAACTACACTAGACTGATTAGCTGTAAGTATATTATAATAATAACTATAGTCACCAATTACACTTGACTGGTTAGCTGTAAATATATAATAACTATGGTCATCAACTGTACTAGACTGATTAACTGTAAATATATAACCACTGAAGTTATCAACTATACTAGGCCGATTATCTGTAAATATATCCCAGGTCTAATTAGCCTAGCTTGCCGGGCCCTGACAAGAGGAAACCATACTGGGAAATCCCGAACAACTTTCTGAAGCAACATGAGGATGGAAATCGGGAGCTCCTGGATAGCGAGCTAGCATCATACTCACTAAGCCACTATGGCTCCTTGACCAGAATAATAAAGACCTACCGTATGTATAGATGTTCGCCAACAGTACGAAACTATTTAAAAACTAAGTAAAACTGTGTCCGGTGATAAATACGGAATATAAACCGAAAGAATATAGATTACAAAACCCCTGGTTTCAATCAAATTAGCATGGCACCATGAAAACCCCCAAATATTTGTAATAAATCTTTATGCTTACAAAAGTCTTTGACACCAATGTAGGTAACTTGGGTGTCATTTTCTGTTGGTTCTTCCCAGGGTAAGAAGATAGTATATCGCATCTCCTCCAGTAAATCCTCATCTATATCGGGATCGGATTCCAGGTCGATGTCTTTAGGTAGAGACTCAACCAAATCATACTCATATTCTGTAGGGTAGTAATTCTTGCGTACATAAACTTGTAGCGTAACATTAGAAGCATGTGGGCGCAGTATAACCTGTAGCGCCTTATTGGTGGATTCGTTCAGTAGCAGTGTATGGTAATACATAGTCTCGTCTTTAGACAGGACTGGGAAGATCTCGGCACCTTTATAATCGTTACCACTGACATCGATATCAATAGCTATAGCTGTAGTAAGGTTAGCAACAGGAATTTCGTCCCCGTCAGCGTCATATAGATTCATTGTTAACACAGGGGAGTTAATGTTGTCGGCGCTGACGTCCCATACAAATGGATTTAACATAGAAGTAATGAACTGAAACAAAGAATCGGGTATTTTAGTTAACCGACCGGTGTCGAAATTTGAAAATAAAATAATTTTCTACCCCAAGGGTTCTTTTGCGTGCACACCACAATGAGTACACGAGTCGAGTTCGGTTTTTGGTCCCTCCTGAACGACTAGGCCCAAACGAAACCAGGACCTTCTGGCAAGTGAGACAGAACGTATGTTTTGTGCTGTGTAAATCCAGTCAATCATTTGCAGTTTCTGATCATTTGTTTAATTAGCTAAACATTATATCTGGAGGAAATATGGAGCATGTTTATTGATGCTGAATCAGTGTGCTTTTACGCCTAAGACTAATTTAATTAAACATTAAATGTTGCAGGGTTACCTTTGTATCTATGAAAGCACTGGAGGTGTTATCTAGTAGTACATCAACTGCTGGTAGTCTGAAAGAACCTCCATCAGCTGATATAACTGTATTATTTAATGCCGCTGCTTCACGTCTATCTGCTACTATAGTAAACATTTGATTCTTCAGTATCAGAGGTGGTCCTCCTGGGGCTCGTTTTCTTAACACCGTTTTAACCACGTTCTCAGCTAGTTCTAGAGCTTGTCGAGTTATCTGTCTAGCCTGCAGGAATAAATGTTTTTTTGGTGCTAAGCCTCTAACTCAATATTTTCTATAATATTCGAAATTAAAAACACGATTCAGAATTCAACATTGATCAATTTCAATCAATATTGATGTTTTTATCTTGCCGTGAAACTATGGGATCTCGATATCCAATGTTTATGACACAATTAACATTTTATAATGAGTACACGAGTCGTGTGCCCTATAATTTTGTAATTAGTACATATTCATACATATTCTACAACACAATGTAGAAGTAATTAGTAAAGACTTACTCACAAACGACAAAAATAATGATTTAAAAAACGTGTAGAATGCATTAAGCTGGTGTAAACGACTGCAGTTCAATTTAAACTTTTCACGTATTTCACCGAACATAATTGATTAGAAATTACAGTATTTTGTTCAAAAATTGAATTTAAATCACATTACAAAAATTCATATCACATTAATATTTGCTTTTAGAACCATTTTTGTCTATTTCAAGGTTCCAAAAAATAGAGCCATACGCTCTTTAACTATACTTAACAAAAGTCGAGCATATATTTGTTAGGTACGTACGAACAATCCCCACCCCACCCCTACTACAAGTCCAATCGTCTTCCAAAGCATGTATAGTTACGGATGTTTGATTTCAAATATCCACACTCTATAGAGGCCAAATGCAAAAATGCAAAATCTTCGTCGATAGTAAATTTCTGTAAAATATTCTATTAAAATTTCGCATCCACCCGCCAAGTCCCCCCCCCCCCCCGCCCGTTACTGTTGGACTGTAGATTAATGGAAATTAACACAATGGCCCTATATTCAAAGTGAATGTGATTAACGAAACCTACAATCTCCTGAGCTTTAGTGGTAGATCTGCCAGAATCTGTAGTTGTACCATAATTAGTAGACTGTGTTGTACCGGTGTTACTATTACTACTATAATCCCCAGTCGTCGCCCCATTTACTACATTTGTCACTGATAGTATAACATTAGCTAGACTGGCTACTATATCTGGAAATATCAAATTAGTAAATAGGTAATCACAAAATTAGAGTTAAATATTCCCGAAACAGCTTTTACTTGATTATGGAAACGGATGGTTACGGAAAAAAGAACTTCAACCCCGTAATCGTTAGCGTGAAAGTAAAAGAATCCTTGGAAGTAAAAATTTAAGAAAGTGCAAGCGGAAACGCCGCTGACCGGAAGCATTTCCATTATATCACGCATGATGCATGTTGGTCTTTATTAGCCTATATGTTTTTTATTATGTAGGTAATCGGGTGTGTCTCGCAGTGTCGATCTTAGCTGTGTGCCAACCATCCACGTCCTAACCAAATCTTTCCAATTTTTGACGTGGATATTTGAAATCAAACATCCGTAATTCTACTTAGGTCTACAAAAATAAAATGACTAGCATTGAACAGCAAGTCCTGGGGGTGGTGGGAGTATACGTTGCACTAATCCCAAAATATCCTACGGTAGGCGCTGTGTCTCGTAAAAATGCATTTTGACGGTGCGATTTCAGCGCCTCCTCAAACCAATTCTCCTTAATAATACCACACAATCGGGTGTTCTACTTATACATGGTAATACACTACAGGGAATGAAATGAAATGGAGTTTTCGTACTACTTTTGCTGCAAGGTGCTGTGATGGAAATTTTGCCCTGACAGCGGCACTACGCTCTTATATCTAGGGTAATTTTTCGTGTATGCCATTATGTTTTTTCCATCCATCCGAATGACTAAACACTATCGCTATCAGGCCATCCGTGCTGCATCACTGTCAATGGAGAACACCACGCTTGAAAAGCCCGGGTAACGTTCTCGGCTAACATGGGGATCGCCAACAACTTACGCACAAATTCAACACTTTACCTTCTGCTGCAATAAGTTCTTGTTCAGCCGAATCACTTCTCTCCTCGTTTACTATTGACTCAAATGTTGCAGCCATGTTGTTCATAGCTGACACCGTCACTTCCTAAAAATAAAATAACTAATTTCTATACTTACACTTAATTATATTGATTTATCTGACACCTCAGAAGGAATGACAACTGGAGAATGATGTATTTTTATATTTATTCATTTAGCCATGCCCCCCCCCCCACCACCTCCACATTAACTTTTCGAAAAGATTGTTCACACAAATACACAATATATTTAGCAAATAACGTGTTCATAACAATTGGCTTCCTAAAGCACCCCCACCCCCTGGCACCCGTCGGATTCTCAAGCTTAGCATACGCCTCTGGACATAGATTAGATGAGGCCACTCCAATTTCATTTTCTGTAGTTAGTTCCAGGTCTTGATATTTTAATATCGTGAAAATTTGGGAACTAAACAAGTTTGAACAGCACAATCAGGCACTTGCACTTTTGGGGGTTTTTTGGGGTTTTTTTTAAAAAAAAAAAGCCCACTTCTTTAAGAAATAAAAACGGGAATGTTCCCGAAGAACAGAACATCAAATGGATGTGGCTGAAAGCGCAATATAATATACACATGTATATACCTGACATTCATCTGATAGTTCACCAGTTTCCTGAGTTATAACTTTATATGCTAACGCTGTTTGTTGTAGAGAGTCCATTGTAAGAGATTCTGTACTGGACAGGGTTATAGCTAAGTTTGTTCTTAACTGAAACATAATTAGGATAATAAAATAATATCTTGTCTTATTCAAAATAATTTACATTTTAATGGAACACGAGACGTTAAAACTAAAGTAGACTCGTGCATTAAAATGTGGTTCTCCTGTGTCATTCAATTTGCAGTGGCGCAGGGACAATGACACTGGATAACTAATCAGATATCCAAGGGGATCGAACGCGAAGTAGGTGGAGAAAGCTTCTGGTTTCCCCTTGTCAGTGGTCTACGACAAGGAGGTTACAAGGAAAAACGTTTATGATAAATGACAACAAAAAGGCAGCAAGTACCTCAACTCTCTTTTTTCGATTCTCTTCTATTTTTCTTCGTATTTCTTCTGGTAGTTCTGTTGTTTGGTAAGGAGAAATGGTCGTTTGCCCATCTGGGGTAGTCTCCCCGAATTCAGTTGTTCTAAAAGTTGGCCCTTGAGTTGTCACATATGGTATGCCACCAAGCTTTAACAAAACATGTAAAATATGAGTACGGTTGGTTAAGGTTAACATATAATGGAATCCTTACATGTAATTTATTCAAATGCTTCTCAGTTCACCTGTATCTACACCCGATCAACCAAAGGATAAGATAATAGAAATGCCACCGCCTGTTTACCTTAGCACTAGGATCGTTTAATAGGGACGCTACGGCCACGATAAGCTGCTTAGCTTCTTGCTCTCTTCCAGATGAAAACAGATTAGTTAATTCACTTGATTCACCTGTTGTAATATTCTTATAAGTAGCAACATCTCTGTTAGTAGGTGGAACAAGCACCTTAAAAAAATAATCAAATGCATAAGTAAATTTAAATGAAATAAAATTGTGATAAAAATAATATCCTTTTAGAAATGTGAAAATTAAATACTAGTACGTTCAAATATTGGGATTGGAAGTAAGTAGAATTTAAATTATAAGAAAGTGTTTTACTTAATCAGTAATTCTCATTTAAATTGTTTGGACAATATCACAGCATGTTCCCTGGTAAACTGATTATTTACCATTTAAAAAAAAAACCAAAACAAAAATATGAACGGTAGATAGTTCCCTGATAAAGGATAGCAGTGATCAGTGGAGTAATAGTTTATGTCGCCCAGGGTGGTCCTTATACCCTATCCACCATTCCCTACGACAGTAAAGAAATCATTTTTTGTTTCAAGCGCATTATACTTTTACAGTGGTAAACCCTTATGATTGAATAGTCCTAAGCAGGATTAAGTCTGAAGCAGCAGATTTTCTTAAATACGTGTACTTCATTTAATTTATACACATAGTACATCATATTATTTCCCAGTTTGGAATAAATCTCCTGACTAAATTCTTTCCTGGACAAAAGTCCCCCTGCCGCAATCTCTGTAATATGATTACCTGTACAAGTTGTTTATTTTCCACATATTCTCCAATAGGATTAGAAATACGGACAGACAAATCAAACATATAGTTATCCTTTGCCGGTCCTAATGGAAACTGCGATTCTGGCGTATACGGATCGGTCCCATAATATAATAATTGTACATCTCCACCATCTGCTGTAGATGACCAGAATCTATACAATAGTCCTGCACCAGCAGTCTCTTCTTCACCAGGATTTAACCAGCCTTCACAACTTATTATAAACTTAGTTTGAAGAGCATAACCTGTATTTAAGAAAACGGTATTGGATAATACAGATAAACTCACAACACAAACCACAGATATAGGATGATATGGGGTTTAACAGTCGGTTTTATAAGGTGAGGCATATGCCATGTATTATGTTATGATGACAATTTTCCTTGGAGAACGGCGTTTCAGCTGCTGTCTGGACGACTGACGTCGGATGCGTTGGGAACAATATTCTAGAAACATATTAGCATCTTGGCGTGAGTGTACAGGATGCAAGCCGAAAAAGGGCGACACAATGATACATTTGGTCAGATTGTAAGTAAAACCGAGTTCTGTAACATTTAAGTTTAACCACACTGAAGAACTAAATAAGGAAGTTACCTATTTTAGAATTTATAGAGATAAACTGGCTTTAAATTTATACATAAGTTGAAAAACATATAATTTTAACCACACCGAAATACGAAATATAGGAACTTACCCATTTTAGGATTTATAGAACAAGTTCCGCCATATGGAGGTAAATTGGTTTTAAATTCATACATTGTAAAACTGGCAACAAAACCATAAACCTTGGCATCGAGACGTAATCTGTACGTGAGCCCACCAATCAATTGATGGGATTTGAATGAAATTCCAGCCCCAGTGACATCTGTACAAAAATTACATCGATTTAAAGATGCATTATGTAAAAGCTAAAGCTGTTTATTAGAGGTCTTTATTTTGGTTTCAAATGTTATATAAACTATTATTTAAACATTCGTTCACATGACAAGTATATAATCAACTCTCTAGACAATTGGATGGCCGATTTTTAAATGGATAAGACCACCCGTGAGAAATAACAAGAGCATTGCTACCGGTACAATATACGTCCATATTCCTGCTTTGATTGATATGGTACTTTTTAAAATGAAGAGCATGAAATATGAAATGGCTGTAATGACTGCAGTACAACAAGAGGCAAAGAAGGCTAGGCGCTGGAGTTTGTTTTGTCTAATTTACAGACTAAATATTAACAAAAAAGTTGGTGTGACACCGCCCAAGAGGGTCGAGGCATACACCTAAATAAATAGTTGCTTTCTTTGCGGTATAAGAAATACTTATGCAAAGTTCCTAGATGATCCATTCAGAACTGCAGCCTGTAGACGATAGACACACAAAATTAGGCGTGGCTCTGTCCCAGGGGGTCGGGCATTCAGTGAAAACAATAGGGACCATCCTTAATGCATAAGGAATAGGTATGCAACGTTTCAAAAGGATCTGTTAAGAACAGTGCCTTCCAGGGGGTCGGGCATGCACCAAAAATAATAGAGGTCATGCTTAGGGTATCAGGAATAAGTATGAACAGTTTTCAAGACGATCCATTAAGAATTGCGGTCTGTAGGCGACACACAGATACACAAAGAGAAAATGGGCGTGGCTCTGTCCTTGGGGGTATAAGGAATACGTATGCAAAGTTTCAAGATGATTTGTTAAGAAATGCACCCTGTAGATGACAAACAATTAATAAAAATGGGCGTGGCTGTGCCCCTGGGGGTCGAACATGCACCAAAAACGTTAGGGATCATCCTTAGGGTATAAGGAATAAGTATACAAGGCAATCCATTAAGAATTGCGCCCTGTAGGCGACCCACAGACACACACACCCACACACACGCAGTGGTGACGGCATAATGTTGACGTAAAAAAATATAAGGATACAATGGATGATCCGGACTTAACTCGGTTATCTAGTACCGTTGCTACGAAAATAACAATCTACGCTACATCTTCAAACATTCATAATAAAGTAATTTGAATGAAATTTTCAATATATCTATTTTTCATTATCTATGTTTGAACTTTTATGGCAAAAACAGTCAGTTTTTTATCATCTTTAAATATTTATAGGAAAATATGCCTGTTAATGTTGACAAATTCTGTTTAAATAGAACATGTTTAAATAGAGCTTAATTTTACATGGCGACTTAAATGCCCACACTATAAATATTAGTGATGATTTATAGAAAGAGTGACGCACGGTTCAGGTACTAACGGGTTCAAGCAACTACGCGTTTTCATGGATTATAATAGTGTTTTAGCTTTTCGTATCACGTAGCTTCATTTCTCATAATCCTCTGATAGTAAAAGCTGTGGGGTGGGGGGTCGCTAGTCAAAAGTATAGCTTTAAGCAGTGTGACGTAAGTTTAATCTTCTCCTGTTAAGCATACCGGGGTTTTTTTTCTAAACAATATTTATTCACAGAAACTGGATTGGAGAAGAGGCAGAAGCCTATAGACCCCCTCTCCATAAAAGTACAAACATAAATATATAATGAAAAGTAAAGTAAAGTAAAGTAGAGGAACGATTAAATTATAAGATGTTATATACACTGTATACACGATATGTACAAACCACAATCAGAATGTTAACATTTCATAAATTTAGATACGGAATTTCCAAAATCTTTGGGAGATGTCGAGGAAGTTATGTACTGCAGAAAAAATTTCTTCAGAATTGTTTCTGTCTTCAGTTCCGAATAATAAATTTTGAGAATTTTGATAAAGTTTTGGAAGTTTTGATATTGTCGCAGATTGTGCATCTGAACGTAAGGGACCACAATCGCATGTAGGGCTGTCAGAAATATGCCTGAGAAAACGATGTCCGTTTAAATCACTGCAAGAGAGTCGAAGGCGAGAATGGTGAATTTGATTTTTCCTACTGCCAGAGTAGTATGTTGAAGGTATAATTTGATCAAGGTAGCCGAGTTTAGATTTAAAAGAAGATAAAGTTGGTAAGTTTCTAGTAGAAAGATCTAGTAGATTCCATTCTCGAATTGTAGATGGTATAAAAGACGAAGAAAATAAAGAAGTTCTGCATACTGTTCATATGAATGTGTGTGAAATAGGTTCATTTAGCGTCCGCTTCCACCGAGGTGATATCGCAGACAACTTCATATGAATGGACAATAAAATTTACATATACCCGTGGACTATCGTATTGGCCCCGGGTCCAATTGGCGGTTGTTTTAGGTTATTAGAAATGACTACTCATTAAGCGTACTAGCTTACCTGTGTGTAACATGTCAAGTATATTTGAAACTGGTTCCCATACTTGCGTCGCATTTTTGAGTACAAATAGTGACCATTTATGGTTGATAACATCGAGGGGGTGACATGCAGGACAACTGCTGGTAACGGTAAATTCACCCGATGGATTCATTTTAGACTTGCAATTATCCAAACATCTAGAGTTTTTAAAATATGAAAAAAAATATTTCTAAGATTACGTTTCCCGTTTTCATATCTAAAATGACACCGGAACTTTAGAAATATAATTACTTACTATTGTCTTAATTTTGGAACAGAGGCCGTGGCTTACAAATCAGGGGGTCTGGGGGTTGTTCCCGGTTTTGAAGGAAAAAGTCCCTGGGATTTTCGAGCTTAATTTCCTCTTGTCAGTGGTGTAGGACAGAAAGTCCAGAGAGGAACAACGTCTCGTCGTTCGGGTGGGAAGAAAACCCCTGTAGGTTGGAAACTGGGCTTCACCTGAATAACTCAAAGTTACAAATATATCTTCCCGACGGTTTGTATATATTTCCAATTCAATGGCTATATATTTAGGATTGCGAATGCCGTGAAAATATATCATTAAAAATTTAACTTACGTCAAAATAAATTCTGGTGGATCCCCTTCTACAATGGTAACTGATTGCAAAAAACGAGATACCCGTCCATTATTGGTAGCTTCTACTTCAAAATAGTTTTCCGAGTATAATTGTAGTAGTCTTGAATCCAGTTCTAACACTGCTTCTGTAGTATTTAACCACCCCACACCAGTGCCAAAACATCCACCATCAGTCAAAGTATCGTTAACATCGAGTTCTTCGGGTATCTCAATATATATTCTCTCTGCTGGCAACGATTCGTTACTTCTCCGACAACTCCAAGAAAAGCTAAAGCTGCTTTTATTGTTTCGATCAAAAGCATCAGGATCATAAGTCTCTTCTAGGGCATCGACTCTAAAATTAGTATCAAAACCTACCGCCCTTGCGTTACCACCATGAATTTTTACAATCAAATCAGTTTGATGAATCTTCAGATATGTAAAGTGAATGGCAAACAGCCCTGGGATTCCTCTCATGGAAACATTTAAGCTAATCTTATATTGTCCATCTATGAAGACTCTTGGCGGAAACAAAATTTTGAACAGTCCTGCTGACAAAACTTCAGCTGAATAAGGGACTAAAATGAAGTCAAGAAACGACGCCCCATGCTCCAGGCGTTGTACAATCCATTTATAGTCAGCTTCTTGTGAGACTTTACAACTGATATCAACATTGCTCTCCAGGGAAATCCAGTCCGATCTTGTGTGTTCAACGGGTCTGTCTATCTGCTGTCCGCCTCCTATAATATGAACCTTTGGGTAGCTACAACCAACCCCTGTTATTACAGCAAAATCCTCAAGAATGCCCTCAGAGACCTCGTTAAAACCCGTCACCGTCACCGTAAATGTTTCGTTCGCTCTAAACATGTACTTGTGTATCAGGACTTTCTCTGGAACCCATTCAACGTAATAAGACTGACTCAAGTCTTCCCTTTGGGCACAATTTTGACCTCCATAAACCGTTGGAAAATTGCCATCGCCCATATTCCAAACGTAGCATGATGCTGTGCCCGGTCTACCGAGGGTCAAAGTAAAAGCAACATCCATGTACGTTTGCGTCGGTCCGTTATTTGTTAGGGTGTGAACCAATACAGTTTGTTGGCTTATCAGCTCAAAAATCACCAAGTCGAAGAAAAGAGCGTTGCTGGCATTTAATTTAATCGTGTAGGCTCCAGGAGAAGTGAATAGGTGATCATGGCTAATTTCTGTGGTTTCCACAAAAGTTCCGTCCCCAAAGTCCCAGTTGTATTTTACGTCATTTCCTGAGCTTAAATCAGACATAAACCTAACTTCTCTCTCCAATGGAAATATATTTTTATTGTCACCATGTCCTACACTATAAGCCTCAGATATATCAGACATCCTATAGGTTGTATTGACGTCCAGGCCATGAACATCTTCTAAAGCAACCATCTGAATTGATTTTGATCTAGCCGAAACATGATTAAAGGCCACAAAGTTAACATCGTATGTCCCTGGGGTATTATATGCATGAAGAACCGAAAGAGTTTCATTTTGGGTTACAACGTTATAAAAGGTTCCAGTTACACTTCTACCATCTCCAAAATCATAAACATAATTCACATGACTGCCAAAACTTACAAAGAAATTAAAGGTTCTCGTCGCACCAATAGCCACATATTTTGAATCTCTGTAAGCAGCCACATCTTCAATGACGGCCTCTAGGACTATCTCACTGCTTAACACCTGGAAACCTAACAGATTGAAACAGTTTACTAAAATATTAACGCGTCCAACATCAGATTTCTTATTCCATGTTGGTGAAATAATGTGAGGACGAGTCTGATCGATAACTTCGGTATAAGTCTCCGCGGCATGCTCATTTTGTATATACGTCTGACAAGTTACAAAGTATGGTGCTTTAGCGGCTCCAATATAATCTATCTGAATGCTAATCTGTCCCGGAGGTATGGCTACTGGAGTAGCAGCAGTTATAGTCAAATCTCGTACTTCGTAAAGTATCACAATTGAATCGCCAAGGCTTGTCAACTGGTGACTGAGTTGATTAAAAGCCACCACGCTAATGTTATATTTGCCACTATCAAAATATTGGATAGGGACATCAAGCTGAGTGACTCCCTTGGCTATATTCTTCATGGGGTAAGTGTAATTTCTACTATCTCCTAGATCTACTGTGTATGTAACATTAGAACCTTTCAAACTTTGTATTGTAAGTGTTAGTTGTTCTTCTGGTCTCATGAAAGGACGACTCGCGGATATAGACAGGCTGCTTACCAGTTCTTCAACAATGACATTCTCAGTTACAGCCATATGTCCAACATGATTCGAGCAATTTGCGGTAGCTTTATAACGTCCCAGGGGATACGAATGTTCCACTGGTTCAGAAAAAGAACTATTTATACCATTCACACTTATAGTTTGTGTAAGGGAATCGTCAAAATCCAACAAGCAGATCAAATTGGACAATATAAGACCAGGTTCATCGGGACCTATCAGGAAGGTTACCTGACTTTGGACACCATCTCCTTGATGAAGGATGTGCTTTAGATGCAAAGACCTGATCTCTTCTTCAATGATAACATCAGCTGTATCATTCTGGTTATTTTCGTTATTGGATACTGATACATGTATTGTATAGTCACCAGCTTGTGTATAGTTATGCTTAAAATGAAATGGGTTGAGGAATGACAGCATCTCTGGATCGGAAAGGAGCTCAGTTGTTCCGTCCATATAATCTATAAAATAGGTTACGTGAGATCCACTCTTCGTGCGGACTTCAATATCAACTGTTCCGTCAACCTTGTGATATAAAACCTTGACAAAGACCTCCACACCACTGATAGGATCTTGGTTATTTTCATCAATAGCTGTCAATAGAAAAGATAAAAAGACTTGTTAGAACACCTTCCAGAGTTAAGGTGGCATTATCACTTTTAAAGAAATATAAAACAAGATATACAACAAAAAACAATATAAATATAACATTTATTGATGGATAAAGTCATAAAAACTCGATAATAATAAATGGACTTTTTTTAATCACGATTTAAAAAGAGATACAGTATCTAGTAAATAATAATATTCCATAAATGTAGAATATAAATCTTTTTAATCAGTGTGGAATTATTGAAATAGAATAAAATGGGGTTTAACGTCTTGCTTTTCTGGACCGACTTGGCTAATGAATACGGGCATATGTGCCCGGACAGCGGCGTTGCGGCCTACTCTTATTTCAGGTTCCACAGGACCTCGGGTTTCCACACCATCCCAACGACTAGATACAGTTTTTGCTCACTGAGCCACCGCAGCTCCCGTATGGAAATATCCTGCCGAATGATTTACCTAAACAAATTCTTCCAGGACGAGTAGGTTCTGTAGAGTAATCTAAATAACCAGTAATACAGGTACAGTTATAGGCACCAGGATTATTCTGGCAGGTTGCATGTGTAGAACAGTCATTCCAGGTACTTATAGAGCACTCATTAATATCTGTAGTAATAAATTAATGTTTGATTATAAAAATATGTGCAGAACTCTTCTTTAATACCAAGCTTCGTGGACTATTAATTTTACACAAACGAAACTTAAACTATGCAGTTAATGTGCGTGGACGATTTACAATGATAACATTATATTCATAAATTTTCATAGTGATGTTCTAGTTAAAGCCCTGAACCGAACCGTAGCAACAAACATAATCTAAACCGACATGCCGTCACGCCAGTGAAGATTTGAATGTATACAAAAGTGCATGACAAATAAAGAAAGAATACGAAATTCCCAGCAGGGACTCTGGACCATTGCTTTACAAACAAAAGTACGACAAACATTTGCTCGCTAACTCTATGAAAGACAGTAACTTACCATTAACTAGTACAGCTGAAGCATCTAAGATAACACCGGTATCATTATAAGCTGCTACCCCATCCACAAGAGTCGATGTTAACTCTGGACTAGTACCAACATAACCAGGATCCATATAAATATAACCATCAGTTATAACACTACCTGGTGAACAACCTTTGATCTCTATACCATAGAAATCCCCACCAGTTTCATTTCGCATCCAAAGTGTCACCTGCCATAACACCAAACAAAATGAGGATTTGTGTAAGGTTTTGGGAAGCGGAATGATAATAGAATTAAAAGGTTAGTTACGTTGAAATGTGCGGTAAATTGTTACATCCGCATCTCAAGATGGTCACGTTTGCCAGACGTTACTTCATCTGTGGTGGAAACATTATTCAAATCACTGGACATTCCAGGGTCGTTTATAGAGACGAGAATCAAAATTAATGTCAATTGGGAAATCTACGGCGTACTGTGATAATTATGTAGGTAAGGACGATCAAATGCCGGTAACCGCTGTTGCTGTGGTTTGTGTCTTGTGGCAGAATATAGTACTTTCCGTGGTTTCAGGCATTCAGCATAAACTTAAAACAATTGGAGCAAGGGTTAGCAGCAAAGAGTCTAGATTAGGGGCGGCATATATGTTGGACTACCCCAAGTATGAGGCTAGTAGGTACTCCACCACCTGCGTATCAATTTCAGAGTGGGTTTCCTCACTTCTTCTCTTTGAATTACACCCCTGGTCATAACTTGAGAGACATTTGTGCCAGAGAGTTACGGTAAATAAATTAAAACGTTGGCTTACTGTGTTTTCTACTGCGGTAACTAATGTAGTTGCTTCTGGTGACGTCAGATTTTCATAGGCATCAGTATAAACCAATGGTGCTGAGTTCAACTCTACGATCCGCAGTGATGTATTGAAGACACGTGTTTCTGAAGATGAATATGTTCACACTCGGTTATAATAATCATTAGACATCTAGCATTACTTAGATGATTGACATCTGAACTCGGGAGTCTACGTTTGACTTCGGATTTATTCGTCATAGTCAACCTAGTGATTTCCCAAGTGATATGATTAACACTTCATGACATGTATTGCCATGAAGTAATACAGTCCGTTTAGAAGTGTGAATACTTCCGTTATTCTATAGGATGATCAACCCATGCAGGCCTATAATCACATCATTATTGTCAAAAACACGATGATCATGTTAAACGTTCTCCATGGGCCGGGTGAGCCATCTGTTATATTGGCTTGATCTTGATTGGAAAGGGGATAGAATTGGGTTTTACTTTTTGTTCTGCAAAGGGGCTAATAAAGGTCAGAATAAGCATTTCGCACTGGCATAGGATTTCCACCTATTCTGCATCAAATCCCAACTGCCAAGGAAAACTCGAGTTATCCTTCTATATAACTGACTTTAGTACCCAGCGATAAGAGATACACGGGCGAATTTCTGCTCACTAATAATTCCCTCGAAGACCCAAAATTGTTATACGAGACTGAGAGAAATGAGAAAAGTAGAAATAGCCCGTACATTCCCTATGTTTTTATTCATTCTATACTAAATAAAAACATGGTAATGCACGGACTTTTCTATTTTGTTCGTAGCAATGATCTCTGTGTTAAAATTATACGTGCACGGGAACTTTTTCTTACCATCATAACGACTAGTCGATGCCCCTTACCAGCCCCCCTGTCCTGCACAGTGGATAAAGGGGTGGAAGCACGATGGAAAATGTGTTATTTCATTTGTGCTACCATCTATAACTTAAAGGTTATATAATATTATTCAAAACTGTATATATATTTCTTCTATTTGGTTTAAATTATGCTACGAAACTCAAATCCACTTTTAAAAAGTCTACAGCAATTAAAGGGCTTAAACGACAAACTTACCTATACATTCAAGCTGAGATTTCTTATAGAATCCTAAATGACAACTACAACTGAAGCTGCCCGGATTGTTGAAACAATCAGAATGTTCAGGGCACGGCGAATCTAGACATTCATTATTATCTGTAAAAAGATCAAATAATTATTTGTTGTGCCGAGTAATCAATTAATGAGACACAATTAGACTGTATATCGTCCTTGTGTATATCATTAGTAATTCGTGTCGATTGCTCTTTTATGGGCCCTGGCCCCATAAATCTGAAAAAGGATTGCTCTAAAGAGTTTTTTGTTTATCGGCCCTTTTGTATTATTGTATTTCAAATTTTCCATGCTAAACACGTCACTACCAAGCGGAAACTTCCTTAATTAGCACCATATTTTCCATATAACAGATTTTAAATTATCTTACCCTCACATCCAGACAAGAGTTGACTAAAACCCGACTGACATGGACAGGAATAACTACCAATACTATTTATACAGCTTGTATTGTTGGGGCAGTTACCGGCGGAATTAATACATTCATCTACATCTAAAAACAACAATACAAAACCAGGTGTATGTCACATTATTAGTTACCTGTAGACACTTATAAATAAAAATAGTAATATCTAGCCCTAACAAATAATTTTCAACACATATCATCATAATTTGAATTGAAATAAATAAACGGGGGGTGTATGCCACATTATTAGTATCCTTTGGATATTTATAAAATACACCAATATTGTCCTTTAAACCACACATACCAAATAGTAATATCTAGCTTTTAATACATAACCATATAAATAGAAACCATTTGTTTAGCTTATATTGATAGAAGTATTATGTTGATCAGACAATAAACATCATTATATTCCATTCCATTGACGTGTTTACTCAATTCCTTTATATTATACAATTATCTAGACATCTGCTATATCACTATTATGGAAGCAAAGGGTGAAAGACGAGTCCAGTATATAAATGATATAATTACCTTCACATCCATTAGTTGTATTATAAAAACCATGTTTACATTTGCATGTAAAACTACCGTCCATATTAATACAATCAGCATTACTAGAGCATACATCCACTTGTTGACATTCATCATTATCTTAAAGATAAATATTTTAATCTTTTTTAACATTGTATATCGTAATTACTTGAACATACAAATCTGGCCAAACAATTATCAGGATCTACTTCAAAACGGCGAAGATTCACGAAACGTCAGGAATCTGACACGTTTCTAATAGGCAGTCAAGAGATTTGGCACCCGTCTTGCCAATTCGTTGGCGATAATGTGCTTAACCCTCTCATGAGAGATGTCCACAACACTGGGAATATGTCATGTGGTCAACCGTCGATAAGCCATCACAATGTCATGCACACGGGTAATGTTATTTTGAATGGGTGCTGTTGATTTCCTTCCTGGACACGGGTCACCGCCAATGCTCTCTCTGCCACGCTTAAATGCTCCAGCGCACGTCTTTATTGTGGAAACGGAAGGGGCATCATCGCCTAAAGTGGAGACCATGTCAACTGAAGGTATTTGATGACTGCGTGCCCTATAGCCAGTTTTGTCCATTTCTGGTGATTTCAATTAGTAAGTTCACAGTTGTAGTTCTTATGTCTATGATTCATTCAGTGATTGTACTTGTTGGTGGCAAAGTTTGTTTGAACAAACTGGTCTATCCTTTTCAGACTTAGAACTTTTCAGTTCGCGTATAGAGCATTATCGTTACAATATTAAAGAATACACCTATTTGTTTGCAAATAGTATTATCTGTTGAAATAATAACCATTACTAAATCATACATTTACTTCTCGACATTCTTCATTATCTAAAATAAACACCCAAGATTACTAAATCAAATATATATATTACACCTGCATTCATCATTATCGGAAATCAAATCATATTTATACATGATCCATATTCACAACTATCTGAAATTAAATAACCATAATTGCTACGTCGTATTATATATTACATCCGCAGTCATCATTATCTGAAATTGAAAAAAAAACCACTACTATTGCTAAATCACACATATTCCATATCGACATTCATCGTTATCTGAAATACCATAGACAATATTACCAAATCATACAATTCATCATTGTCTGAAAACAAAATTACTAAATCATATAATATATACATCATTATACTTTTATTGTTGACTATAATCTGCAAATATTGTCATTGTGGACATGCAATTAGCCCGTATTTATCAGTGTTAGAATAATGACCTGGCGAACAACTATCATGTTAAACATGGGGCTAACTGAATGTGACTTTTAAATGGCTATTTTGGGGGGATTTCTGGACAGGGGACATAAAGCCGTGGGTTTATGTCTCTCTTGAATTTTCGATTTTTCGAGTGTTTGGGTTTCTCATACATAATTCATGCTCGACATGCCCTACGTTATACATTTATCTAAAGCTTCAATAATTACGTCTCCAAATATCTATTCCAGATTTATTCAACAATTAGCACGTTTGAAGTTGTATACCAAACAAGGCCACCTATTAATTGCCAAAATTTTTAGAAATGTCGATATTGTGGACAAATACATCGGAGATAGATCGGCGATACCTTTTTGGAGAGATGATTAATTCAACCTTGAATATTGGAAAGGTATTTCAAGCCCTGAATATTTGGGAGAATTCTCAGAAACAACCAAAGCTTTAGTGGTCATGAAAAATGGGTGGTCAACTATCACAAGAAACTGAAAAAAGGTCTAAGTAAAAAGATTGGTACATTGGCACTTCCGCCTACTTACCGACACACACCCCACCATGTGAAGAATAACCAGTATCACAGGCACAGCTATAACTACCTATACTGTTAATACACACAGAATGTACTGTACATGGTGAGTCTATACACTCATCAATATCTACAATATATACAATTATATCTTTATTATATCTATAATATACGACATATATACAACATAATATCTTTATTATATCTATAATATATGATATATAAATTTATTATATCTATAATATACAACATATGGACAATATACAACACATGTACAATATACGACATTTATACAATATATATCTTTATTATATCTATAATATGCAACATATCTGCAATATATATATATTTTTATTATATATCACTGGAGCTAAATCAACTTGCTTTCGTCGTATTTGATTTGATAATTTGACATATATCTATATTAGTTTGTATATAACATTTGAGTAAATATATCAACTAGTGAATAGAGTCTTCGATAAATATATGATATTTTCTATAATCTTAAATGGGATGTGGTCATAACAGTCAAAATTCACTTTGGTCAAAATGAAAATAATTTTGAATATGAGAGACTGGTGACAGTAATGGTGTAATTTCGAAACACATATGGTATATTTCAATTATGTAACTCTGCGTAGATTCTATCGAAGGTGGGGAAAAGCAGAGTACCCGGAGTAGCCTTAGAAGCCCAAAAGGTTTTAGTCACGTGACCCTACCCCATGTCATGTACTTGAATTGCATATAGCAGGTCTTCGTATCTACGTACGCCTTACTTAAGATTAACTGATCGGTAATTGATTTAATGTTTATTTTACCTATACAGACGCCATTATCATCCTGAAAGCCAGTGTCACACGTGCAAGCAAAACTACCCTGTGTATTTAAACACGTTGATCTATATGGACAGGGATCATCAACACATTCATTGACATCTGGAATAAGAAACATTCGAATGAGAATTAATGTCTGAAATACAAAACAACGGGCTGAAAATTAATGTCTGAAATACGAAACAACGGACTGAAAATTAATGTCTGAAATACGAAACAATGAGATGGGAATTAATGTTTGAAATATGAAACAATTTAATGGGAAATATCGTCTGAATGTAACCTGATTAGATGTCTTTCCCGTTTCAAAAACAGTGCGTAGATCGATGATTCTAACGTACAGCTCTATTTAAGGGCGCGTAACTTTATGCATCAAATAAACGATGGCAATCCAATAATATTTACAACTTTCGGATGTGGGCCATTTTAGAAATGATTATATTTGTAATACTACATTTCAAAAGGGGAAGTTCAGATTCGTTAATTGATTTATATCTTTCGTTACCACAGTACCTACCATTACATAAATCATTGATCTTTTCAAAACCTTCAGTACAGTTACAACGATAGCTTCCTATTACATTAGTACACCAGGAATGAGCTGGACATTGATCTTCAAGGCATTCATTAACATCTGAAAGATAAATATGCATTCAACTGTCGTCATTAGTATTTTCCCCAAAATATCCATTTTTCCACGGCCTAATGAAATTGATTATTTAAAGATACATTATGGGAGATAAGATAACGAGATGGCAGTTCTCGCTATAATAGTTAAAAACTAGATAGTGTAAAGGTAAATTGCTGAAAATTTCAGTCAAATTGATCCACTATGAGCCGAGAAAGAAGCGGGTGAAATTTTTGCATCGTCTCGGTCATCATTACTAAAATCATTAATATAAACAGCATAGTCTCGATTATCCACTTTTATTGATTTAATTATCAATAGCCGTTAGCGGCATATAGGAATCTAATCCAGCCAACATCGAAGGCTAGCCTTGACATCGAGAGTTTATTATGGTCTGGATAAGTTAATTAATGTCTAATTGATAATTTAGATAACATTTCAGGCCTAAAGAAAGACTTGTAATAAGCAGATTTTGCTCTTGCATAATGCATGTTTAACTTTGAGAAAAAAAACCCAAAATATAAACGGTAGATAATGTCCCGACTTAAATACAATCGGACTAAATGGAGCCCTTCCACGGATTGTAGCCAAAAGAAAACTGGGCTCCGAACTGGGCTAATGAAGACGGGCATACGCTATACAGTGTGGTATGGGGGAAATTTTGACCGGGCAGCGGCACTACGGCCTACTCTTATATTGAATTCCATCTGCCAAGGGATCTTTTACGTGCATGCCAATGTATACACGAGACCTAGGTTTTTCGTCCATCCGAACGACTAGACAAGTGTCCGTAACTGGAAAACCTCATTTTAACATAGAAATGAGAATTCTAGAATGTAGACTTTCAGAAAAAAATAAAAACCTGCTATACTCTATACTGAGCCCCCAATTGCGAGAGAGGCGATTAGTTAGCTAAACAGTCGATCTTTATTTCAAGTCCATCTCACTTCCGTTGTATCTATGGTAGATTAGGTAATTAAAAAACAACGGGATATAGTTTTTCTCAACTCTTTCTGTGTGCGTTCCATACCCAAATAATTCACTGCTTATGGCCAGTTAAAACAAGCGGTTTCCATGCAAGATACGACAACATTTTGAAGCAATGGGTGGGGAAGAGGTAAAATCAACAGGGCTCATACTCTAATTGATCCTGGACATATTTATTACGTTTTATATGAATGGGTTGTAGCCCCTCTGGAGGATCTACAAACTTCATACATATTTCACATTTTGCGAAAAAAGCACTGGCTGTAGCTTTAGAATGGAAGATCTGATGCGTACCGAAGTCGAACTGATTCAAGAACTTTGTATCCTTGACACATAGTTTAAATTTCATCTTATGAATCGGACAAAAATTATCGTCTCAGGAAGGTCCACAAACTTTATTCATAGTGACACTCATTTTAAGTTTCATCCAAATCGATGAAAATTGTAACCTCTAGAAGGTCCACTACCTTGTTGGTATTTCACAATTTGCGTAAAGGGGATCGCCCATTTGACGAGAATTTTCGGTCGGATTTTCAGGAAATTCGGAATCACTCATAATTATATTTGATAAGTTTTGAAAAAAAGAGTGACATCTAGAGGGTACAATCCGGAGGAGCTATCTAGACAATTACGGTCCAATACGCGCTAATATTGAAAATGAAATAAAATGAAATGGGGTTTAACGTCCTAATGTTCTGCTCCGAACTGGACTAATGAAGACGGGCATACGCCATACAGTATGCTATGAGGGAAATTTTGTCCGGACAGCGGCACTACTCTTATATCGAATTCCATCTGTCAAGGGATCTTTTAGGTGCACGCCAATGTGTACACGGGACCTCGGTTTTTCGTCTCATCCGAATGACCAGACAGCTGTACATGTCAGGCCCTCTGTCCTGCATCACTGACAAAAGGGAACCACGCCGAAAAATCTGGGTGAACTTCCTCGGCCAATGCAGGGATCGATCACCCGACCTCCATGCTAGCGAGCCAGCGTCTTACCTACTAAGCCACCGTGACCCCCAAAAGGAAACAGATAAGCATCAGGATACAAAAAAAGTTTGTGCGGTATCTGAAATCCTCTCAGGTGTTATTTGTCCAACATATCGGTCTAGTTTTAAATTCTTTACAATAGTTAGGACATTAAGGGACTACTTTGTGTTAATTCTTGATTTTAATATCTTTCTTACACACAGGCGATGTGAAAGGGGGTTAAGAAGACTACTTACTCCTCGCAACTTAAATAATCGAATACAACAGTAAATTATCTGTAGAGCAACACTTTAGGTTATCCAACCGCCATTGATACTAGAACAAATGTAGGAAATAATGCTTTGGAACACCCAACTACTATTACATTTTATCATCCACAATATAAGAACTAAAACTTACCAACACACGTCTCATTAACTTCTTTAAAACCAGCTGTACAGGAACAGAAGTAACTACCAGCGGAGTTAGAACAGGCTGCATATTCAGGACAGGGTTCACTTGGACATTCATCTACATCTGTTAAACAAAATTTTTCATGGTAAATATATGAATAATAATTACATTGAAGAATTGCCAAAGAATTGCTATGATCACATAACAAATGAATATTTCGGAAACTATTCCTGAAAAGAACTGTATCTAGTATCTTCTAATCCCATTAACTTGTCCAACATGTGTCAAGTGTTATAGAAAGAGTTACCAAACCATGACACTGGATCGATAATTAACAAGCAAAAAGCTACTTGGTCGATGGTCTGAGTTATCTCAGAGCAATCGGCTAAAATTTTTGACTTGAAATACCCGTAGTTACAAATAAACTAATTTAGCTAATTATCTTACCTTTACAGGTTTGTCCATCAGCAACAAAACCAGAATTACAGGTACATGTATAGGAACCATCAGTATTATTACAGGTAGAATGTAATGGACAGGGATCATTTAAACATTCATCCACATCTGTAAAATTATGCATGAAATAATATCGTAAATTATTATTCTATTGCTGGTGTTTTTTATTTGGAGGGCCACGGTGCCTTCGTGAGTGTGGCGTTGGGTAACTAACCAGGCAGTCCCGGGTTCAATTCTGGTGTTAGCGGAAAAAGTTCCTCGAGATTTTCCAGTCTAGTTTCCTCTTGTCAGTTGTGTAGCACTTGTTGTTGTTGTTGGTGGTGGTGGTGGTTGGGGGGGGGGGGGCTGGCAAGGAAAGGCGCCTCGTCGTTGTGACTTGACCAAAAGCCGAAGGTTCCGAATATACAACACATACATGCTAAAGATTCCCTAATATTTGGACGGCGAAATAAGAGTAGGCCGTAGCATAGTTTACCCTCATTGCACTCTGCATTAGATCGGTTGGTGCCAACAGGTAAGACCCCAAAGTAAACCACATATTTTATTTCTGGTAATTGGTGTAGGCTGTTTGTTTATAATAGAAAACAAAATCTAAACATTACCTGTGCATACTTGACCATCTTTGCTGTAACCGGTATTGCATGGACATTGATAACTACCATATGTATTACTACAGTGACTGTTGACTGTACAGGAACTACTTTCACATTCATCAATATCTAGTGAAAATGATGAATATATTAAAGCGATAAACGGTAAGAATAAGACAGTATTGTCTCAACACTATATTCCTAAACATTATCAAGCCGTCCACTCATAGCAAAGGTGTTGTGGTTTTGAAGGAATGATTTTCGATTATTCATTTGGAGAAATTCACACTTACCTGAGCATCTCGATGTGTTGGCTTTAAAACCTTCATTACATATACAAATAAATGATGTTCCATTCATACTACATGTAGAGTGGACAGGACACGGGTTGCTATCACATTCATCTACAGCTGAAATAATGTTAACGCCATCATAAAGGTTAACCAAATATATTTAGGTTGAAAATCAACATTACTGGGTCAATACCGGATGACCATTGTTAAGCGATCCGCATTTTTCTCGTACAGTCTTGGGATAGGATAGGATAGGAATGGGGTGCGGCTGTTGTTACAGTCATCCACAGATAAAATAGCGTAAACAAAAGTTAACCAAATATTTAGGTTAAACGCAAAAACTACCAGGCCATTTCGGGATTAACATAGTTACGCAATCCGACTTTTTCACACACTGTCTTGGGATTTAACTGACCTATGCTTAGCTGACATACCTAAAACACCAACAAATAGCAACCCGGTTATCAAAGAATGGTGCATCAATCAATTGATGTAATAAACATTATGAAAATAGTAAAACCCCGGGATAAAAATAAAAACTTACTGAAGGCAAGTACACTACTCATAATCACTGAGCTAGATGATTCGAAAACCTGTGAACTGTATTCAGCTGTCGTCTGCAGGAACAGAGAGCTTTCAATAATAAAGCTACTACATCCCAGCCCACATATTTCTGATTCGTTCACTTGAAACATACTCGATGGTGCAATCTCGGAATTTCCCGACATAACGGTCGTTGACTCTGTTTTATCCATGCCAAGAACTTCGGTACCTTCAGAAGTATAAACAAGTATTTAGGTCTAAATTGGGTTTATCTTAGTGTACAGATTATTATCAACACATTTATCCAGATATTAAGCTAAAGCAAACGATATATTTAATATATTTGAAATAACAGGAACATTTACCTGTACTCTGTGACATAAGGGCAACGACATTTGATGAAACAGCTACAAGTGATGTTTCGTTCATAGTCATGGAATCTAACAAAAATGTCGCCGATGGACTGTAAATTCGTAATGCCGATGAATCAGCAGGCGGCAAAGATTGTCCAATACTCTCTCCCTCTGAGAAACTGGACATCAAAGTGTGTGTATGGTCTGCCACGAATGTGGCAGAAGTTGCAGTTATTGCGGTGTTAGATACAGATGCGGTGAGTGAATTTGTATGCGTATTTTCGTACAAGTTGGATAATTCACCAAGAGTCGTTTGTGAAATTTCTGGTAAATACTCAGCAGAGGTCACTACAGTTGAATTTGATTCCATGGCATATGATGTAGTCATGACACTGCTTTCTGTAAGCTCACTTGTGGTATCAGACGAAAGCTGAATAGAATGTTGTAAATTTGAATCATATGAGCTTAACTGAGGTAGACTGTTCGATGAAATCACTGTTGATAACAGAGAATGCGATACAGGATAGGCTGTCAGATCTCCGGCATGCGTCGTAATAATGGTTGGCGAATCTTGTACCCCTTGACTGCTTGTCGTATCAACAATATCTGATACATCTACACTCAAGTCGGGAGAGCTGCTGACTACGCCAGATGACCATACTGCAAATGACGGCGAAGAAACATAAGCGACAGACGTTGATTCAGGACTGGCGTAGTTACTTGGCGTGACTAAAGCGAATGAACTAATGACACCATTTATTGTAACACTGGAACGTTCTGAAAAGTAAGTAGATCGTGTAGTTTCGGGTGTTTTATGATAGATAAAAAATAAACTACATGTATATGCAAAAGTAATAAGTTTGACAAAGCTTAAAAACTTACCATTTGTTAATGAGTTTACTGACTGAGAATCTGGTTGAGCTACAGGCTGGGATGGTGGATGAGCTGCTTGTTCAGATGTTGGCTCGGATGCAGGTTGGGATGATGGTTTAGGAACAGGCATAACCGAGTCATTTAAATGGCCCGTAAACGCTAAAAAATTATAAAACAATATATGATTGTTTTATCAGCCAACTGACAAAATTCAGTTTTGTGTGTATATATTAAGCAAAGGCGGGTTTACAATATATTGGTTTACAATATAGACAGCTGATACAGGTCGCTCACAACATATGTTTTTTTAGTTTCCACTCTATATCTAATATATATGCTTATACTCACATGTATATACTTCTTCAAGTTGATAATCGGGGTCTGTTATCTCACTGTACCCTTCATTAAATTCTATAGCTATATTTTCGACGGGAATTTGCAAATCCACAAAAGTAACACCGAAGTCAACTATAATACTGCCTTGTCTGAACATAAAGGACAAAAAAAAATGTATATTTATTTCCTTTGATTCCCAATTATTTGGTTTTTTTTTTTACTTAGACAATTACAGTTTACGCATTATTCCGTGTTTGAAAAAAGTAGACAACAATTACCTGAAACCGTGAATTTCGATGTCATCAATTGTAAGTCCAGTGTTCGCCAGTACTTCACTTAGCTGAAAAAAGCAAATAACAGTTGTTCATTTTTATCGTATTTATTTTTTAGAAACACTTGGAAACACATCTAAAAACACAGAAAAGTCGAACAATAGTTGTAAGTACTCGTAGAAGGGACCTCAGAGAATATCCTGTCGCGTACAAGACACTTGTAACCTCGGTGTAAGAATCGACAATTGCCGAAATATAACAGTAAAACCTAAAGGTGTTAGCTGTGTTAATGCTCAAATATAATATCAAAGAATCACATGTTCTAGAAAGATTAACTAAGAAGGACAATTCATTAGTTTTGGATTTTGGGATAGTCAACAGGCCATTTGTTCAAAGACAAAAGTAGATTAGATATATGTTTGAAACGTATTATCAATAATTGTTAACTTACGAATGCTAAGATTTGTTGTTCCATACTTTGATACTCGGGTGTTGATTTGTCTTCCAAAGCCGGATCCCAAGTCGTCTGAATTTTGACTGCTCCAGAATATGATTCTTTGGATGGAGTAGGCGTCGGGGCTAAAGTGGTACTGGTGGTAGTTGTAGCTGTAGTAGTTGTACTTCTAGTAGTCGTGGCAGGTGTTGTGCCTGGCGACTGGACTGTGGTGAGCTCTATTACAGCAGATGAAAACTGCTGAGGTGGAATAGCAGATGAACTTACAAACGTATTAGCCGACGAAATAAGTTTACTCGCTATTACTGTGGACGTTTCAAAGACAAGGGCTCCACTACTCGATTGAATTAAAGACGAATATCCCTCACGCAATGCAGAGCTTTGATCTAACAAAGCAACCGAGGACATCTCCCATGTGCTTTGAGATGGTAGTTCAGATAATGTCTCTCTATTATCAGTAAATGTTGTTGAAGATGACAACATTATTCCTATGGTTGTTGACAATTGCATACCCTCTGGTGAACTTAATCCAATTATGTCTGCAGTCGACGATGTAATATCTGCTGTTTCAGCGGTAGACGATGCCAACATTATTTCCCTTGTTGTCGAAGATATACGCTCTGATGTAGTTAATTCGCCTTGAATTGAAATCGACGATGTTTCAGCGGCATAAGATGACAACATTATTCCCCCGGATGTCGAAGATATGCTCCCTGGTGAACTTAATCCAGCTAGTATTTGAGTCGACGATGTGGCATCGGCTGATTCAGCCATAGATGATGAAAATGTTGTTCCTACGGTTGTCGACGATATCAAACCCTCTGATGAGCTTAATCCACCTATTATTGAGGTCGGCGATGACGTGGCTGCTATTTCAGCGATAGATGATGACAACATTATTTCACCGGTAGTCGAAGGTATCATACCCTCTGTTGAACTTAATCCACTTATTATTGAAGTCGGCGATGAAGCATCTGGTGTATCAGCAGTAGATGATGACAACATTATTTCACCGGTTGTCGAAGGTATCATACCCTCTGTTGAACTTAATCCACTTATTATTGAAGTCGGCGATGAAGCATCTGGTATATCAGCAGTAGACGATGACAACATTATTTCCCCGGTTGTCGAAGACATACCCTCTGATGAACTAAATCCCGCAATAATTGGAGACGACCATGAAGTGTCGGATGTTTCAGTTATAGAAGTTGACAACAGTATTTCTCCGGTAATCGAAGATAACATACCCTCTGATGAGCTTAACCCAACTAGTATTACAGTAGACGATGAACCGCCGGCTATAGCAGCGGTAGACGATGATAACATTATTTCCCTTGTTGTCGAAGAAATACGCTCTGATGAACTTAATTCGACTATAATTGGAATCGACGATGAAGCCTCCGCTGTTTCAGTGGCATAAGATGACAACATTATTCCTACGGTTGTCGAAGATATACCCTCTCGTGAACTTAATTCAGCTAGTATTTGAGTCGACGATGAAGCATCAACTGATTCAGCGATAGATGATGAAAATGTTTTTCCTACGGTTGTCGACGATATCAAAAACCCTGTTGAACTTAATCCACCTATTATTGGGGTCGACGATGAAATGGTTGCTGTTTCAGCGATAGATGATGACAACATTATTTCCTCGGTAGTCGAAGGTATCCTACCATCTGTTGAACTTAATCCACTTATTATTGAAGTCGGCGATGAAGTAATTGGTATATCAGCAGTAGACGACAACATTATTTTCCCGGTTGGCGAAGACATACCCTCTGATGAACTAAATCCCGCAATTATTGGAGACGCCCATGACGTGTCTTGGACTCCAGTTATAGAAGATGACAACAGTATTCCTCTGGTAATCGAAGATAACATGCCTTCTGATGAACTTAAACCAATTATTATTGCAGTAGACAATGAGGCGTCGGCTATATCAGCGGTAGACGACGGTAACATTATTTCCCTTGTTGTCGAAGATATACCCTCTGATGAACTTAATCCGGCTATAATTGGAATCGACGATGAAGCGTCAGCTGTTTCAGTGGTATAAGATGACAACATTATACCTAGGGTTGTCGAAGATATACCCTCTGGTGAACTTAATCCAGCTAGTATTTGAGTCGACGATGAAGCATCGACTGATTCAGCGATAGATGATGAAAATGGTGTTCCTACGGTTGTCGACGATATCAAATCCCCTGATGAACTTAATCCATCTATTATTGGGGTC